CTTCATTGCAGAAAGTTGCATTTATTTTCAAATCAGATAATTGCAAAGAAGTAGAAAGCAAAAAGCAGGTATTTAGTACTGCAGTGTTTGGAGAAGGATAGCTGTAGACTGCAAGGAGACATCAATGGTCTGGTTAGCTGGGCAGACAAGTGGCAAATGGAGCTCAAGCTGGAGAAGTGTGAGGTGATGACTTTAGGAAGATCACACAAGGAATAGACAATTAACATAAGAGTGCTGACAGGTGTAAAGGACGTAAGAAGTAAGGGACCTTGGATATCCCTCAGGGTTGTAGGACAAGTTTATAAGGTGATTAAGAAGGCAAATGAAATTCTGTCTTTTATTAATTGAAGTATAGAATATAAGAACAGGGGAGTTGTACAGGAACTGTGTAATCATTATTTAAGTCACAGCTTGAGTATTTTGTGTCATCCTGGTACCTCATTACAGAAAGGATGCATTAGAGAAGGTATAAGGCAATTTACAAGGATGTTGCCAGGGCTGGAAAATTGCAACTATGAGGAAAGATTGGATAGTCTGGGCTTTTCTCTTTGAGATATTAGAGGCTGAGAGGACTGTTGATTGAGAGATGTAAACGCATGGATTGAGTGGTCTGGCGGGAATGACTTGCTTTATCAGAGCATAGATTTAATGGGATTGATAGAAAATAAAGATGATGGAGAATGACTATGTTTCACCAAAAGTGTGGTTAAGATCTGAAACTTGTTATTTGGAAGGGTTAGAAGGGCAGAAACCCTCAACTCACTTAAAAGGTGTCTGGATCTGTACCTCGAGTTCTATAACGTACAGAGCTGTGGACCTGATGCTGGAAGTACAATCAGGCGAGGAGTGGTTCAACGAGCACATTCCTGATGGGTCAAATAGCCTCTTTCTGTGCCATAAACTTTGTAAGATGTTATGGGTAATCTTAATGACTTAAAAAAACTCCATTGATCTTTCCACAGTAGGTACACGGATTGGTAAAATGGGAAAATCAGTGGCAGATGGAATTTAACATTGATAAGTATGAGGTGATATACTTTCGGAAGAAGTAACAACATAGGGAAATACTCAATAAATGGCAGGACACAAGGAAGCTCAGAGGGATCTGAGGTGTTTATCCACAGATCCCTAAAAGCAGCAGGACAGGTTAATAAGGTAGTTAAGAAGCCAGAAAGGATGTTTGATTTTATCAGTGGTTGCATAGATAATTAGAGCAGGGAAGTCATGTTGGAGCTGTACAAGATGTTGGATGGCCACAGCTGGAGTACTGTGTGCAGTTCTGATCTCCATGCTATAGGAAGGATGTGATTGCAGTGGAGAGAGTGAATAGGAAATTTGCTGGGATGTTACGTGAGATGGAGCAATTTAGCTCTGAAGAAAGGCTAGATTAGTTCAGTTTGTGTTATTTGATGCATTGAATGCTGAGGGGGGTACTAATTGAAGTGTATATGTTTGGGAGATTTGGACTGGGTGAATAATAAGCAGTTGTTCCCCTTAGCTGAAGGGTCACTAACAGGGAGACATAATTTTAAAGTGAAAGGCAGATGGTTTAGATGGGATTTGAAGAAAAATGTTTTCACCTAGAGGGTAGTGGGAACCCAAATGCACTTCCTGGAGGGTAGTTGAGTTGGGAAACCTCACAAACTTTAAAAAGCCATTTGGACAAGCACTTGAAATGTCATAATGCTCAAGGCTATGGGCCAAGTACGAGGAAGTGGGGCAAGTGTTATTTAGAGTTCTTTTGTCTGTATAAACTCCAATGGGTATAAGGGCCTCCTCTGTACTGTTTGAGTCTATGAAAGTCCTGCCCGTGTATCTGCCAAATCATGACATAAGCAACAATGATTACCAGAAAAGAAACACAAACAACTGCGGATGCTGGAAATGCGAAATAAAACAGAAATTGTAGGAGAAACTCATCAGATCTGGTAGCATCTGTGGAGAGGAAGCAGAGTTAAAGTTTTGGTTCCAGTGACCCTTCTTTGGAACACTTCTTTATTACCAGAACTCTAACTGAAGTTTTTTAAACTTAAGGCAGATATCTTCTTTTGGGTAAGTGACATGTAATGATATTCCAACACAACAAGCAAGGTGTAGTTAGTTAGTTAATTGAAGAATATAAACAACTGTCTCAGTATCGGCATTGTGTTTCTCTTCCCTGAACATCCGTCACAGAGAGCTAGCAAGAACTACAGATGCTCGAGTCAAAAATAACACCGTATGGAGCTGGAGAAGCACAGTAGGCCAAGCAGCATCAGAGGAGCAGGAAAGTTGACGTTTTAGGTCGGGACCTTTCCTCGAAAATGGAGAGGGGCATGGGAGCCCAGAAATAAATAGAGGAAAGGAGGGGTGGGGCTAGGGATGGTAGGTGGAAAGGTGATAGGTGAATGCAGGTAGGGAGTGGTGGGGATTGGTCAGTGAGGTGGGAGAGGCAGATAGGCAGGAGAGATGATGGACAGGTTGTGTCAGGTCAAGGAGGCGGAGATGAGAGGGAGTATTTGTATTTTTTTTCTTTATTCATTCATGGGATGAGGGCGTCGCTGGCTAGGCAGTATTTATTGCCCATCCCTAATTGCCCAGAGGGCAGTTCACAGTCGATCACATTGATGTGGGTCTGGAGTCACATGTAGGCCAGACCAGGTAAGGATGGCAGTTTCCTTCCCTAAAGGACATTAGTGAACCAGATGGGTTTTTCCAACAATCGACCAAAGGGTTCATGGTCATCGTTAGATTCTTAATTCCAGGTATTTATTGAATTCAAATTCCACCATCCGCCCTGGCAGGATTCGAACCTAGGTCCCCAGAACATTGCCTGGGTCTCTGGATTAACAGTCCAGCAATAATACCACTAGGCCATTGCCCCCCAATGTTGGACATGGGATGAGGCTGGGGGTGGGGAGATTTTAAAACTGGTGAAATCCATGTTTAGGCCATTGGGCTGTAGGCTCCCAAGGCAGAATTGAGGTGCTGCTCCTCCAGTTTGCAGGTGGCGTCATTGTGACACAGGAGTAGGCCCAGGATGGACATGTCACCCAGGGAGTGGGAGGCGGAATTAAAATGGTTTGCGACCAGAAGGTGTTGTCGTTTGTCACATACAGAGCGCAGATGCTCTACAAAATGGCCTCCGAGTCTCCGCTTGGTCTCACTGATGTAGAGGAGGCCACATTGGGAGCAGCGGATGCAGTAGACCAAGTTGACGGATGTGCATGTGAACCGCTGTCTATTGTCAACTTCTCCTTTAACTCCTCCCACTTCCTACAGACTAACGGGCTGGCCATGGGACCCGCATGAGCCCAAGCTATGCCTGCCTCTTCGTAGGATACGTGGAACAGTCTCTCTTCCGCTGCTACACTGGCACTATCCCCCACCTCTTCCTCCACTACATTGATGACTGTATTGGCACTGCCTCATGCTCCTACGAGGAGCTTGAACAGTTCATCAACTTTACTAACACCTTTCACTACAATCTCAAATTCACCAGGACCATCTCCGATACGTCCATCTTCTTCCAAGATCTCCCTGTCCCCATCTCTGCTCAAAACATCTATTTTAAGCCCACTGACTCCCACAGCTACCTGGACTACACCTCCTCTCACCCACCCTCTTGCAAGAATGCGATCCCCTACTCGCAATTCCTCCGCTCCCAAGATAGACCGTTCCACTTCCGCACATCCCAGATGCCCTCTTATTTCAAGGACAGTAACTTTCCTCCTCCGGTAATTGAAAAATGCCTTCAACTGCATCACTTGCATTTCCCGCACTTCTGCCCTCCCATCCCCTCCCCCCAACAAAAATAAAGAGAGAATCCCCCTTGTCCTCACATATCACCCTACCAACCACCGCATCCAACATATAATTCTCCACCACTTCCACCGCCTACAATCCGACCCCACAACCGAAGAGATATTTCCCGCCCCACTCCTATCTGCCTTTCGTAGGGACCGGTCTCTCCGTGACTCCCTCGTACGCTTCACGCTTCACACTCCCCACTAACCCCACCACCCCTGGCACCTTTCCCTGCAACAGCAGGAAGTGCTACACCTGCCCCTACACCTCCCCCCTCACCTCCATTCAAGGCACACAACAAACCTTACACATTAGACAGGGGTTCACCTGCACATGCATCAACTTGGTCGACTGCATCTGCTGCTCCCGATGTCGCCTCCTCTACATCAGTGGGACCAAGCGGAGACTCGGAGACCGTTTTGTAGAGCATCTGCGCTCTGTGCGCAACAAACGACGACACCTTCCGGTCGTGAACCATTCTAACTCTCCCTCCCACTCCCTGGGTGACATGTCCATCCTGGGCCTTCTCCAGTGTCACAATGACACCACCTGCAAACTTGAGGAGCAGCACCTCATATTCCACCTTGGGAGCCTACGGCCCGACGGCCTAAACATAGAATTCACCAGTTTTAAAATCTCCCTACCCCCAGCTTTGTCCCATGTCCGACCCACCTTCTCATCCCCACCTCCTTGACCTGCCACAACCTGTCCATCTTCTCCCACCTATCCGCCCTCCCACCTCACTGACCAATCCCCGCCACTCCCTACCTGCACTCACCTATCACCATCCCACCTACCTTCCCCAGCCCCACCCTTCCTCTATTTATTTCTGAGCTCACTTCCCCTTCCTCATTTCTGAAGAAGAAGAGTCCTGCCCCTAAACATCAACTTTCCTGCTCCTGATGCTGCCTGGCCTGCTGTGTTCTTCCAGCTCCATACTGTATTATATCCATTATAGAGAGTAGTTTTTCAGAAATTTATTTTCTTTCAGCAACAAGACAGATAACCATTGCCTCAGTAACAGCAAACTGAAATCTAATTATTCGTTCTAGATAAAATCACATCAAAAAGTTAAATACAGTAGAAATGTTCCCTTGAGTAGATGAGTCACCTGTTTCCATCATCGTTATTGTAGGATATACAATTGTATTTTCTTCAATATTCACAATGGAGAGCAATGTTAAATATAATGTAATTCATTTTTCTGCTTTTAGTAAATTGTGCAATGTCTTGGATCGGCTGAGCATAATTGCCGAAGATGTTGTGAAAAGAACAGGATTCTTTGTAAATCACCCTGATTTTTATTGTAACACCTTGCGACCAGGTGAAAGGTAAGACTAAATGAAAATTCAGTTGAATAGTTAGATATGAACAAGCCAAGCAACGTAGAAAATGCAAACTTAAACTCATTGATTGCGAAGATGTATTGATTAGCTGTGAATTGTGCAGTACATAATTTATCTTACAGTTCATTGTTCACATTTACATATTCATTATGTTAATATAAGTTTTGGTATGATTTACATTCTATTACTAGAGCCATGTTCAATGAAAAGCTTCCCAAAGTGCTTAGCAGACACAAAACAAGAAATGAAAGCTATGCCATGAGCGATATTGGGAGATGTGTCCAAAAGCTGAGTTTTGAGAAAGATAGGAAAGAAGAAAAGAGAATTGGGAGACAGAGTTTTAGAAAGGATTTGTTTTAATATATATATTTATTCTTGGAATTTGGGTATCCCTGGCTAAGCCAGTACTAATTGCTTAATTGTCCAGAGGGCATGATAAGAGTCAACCGCATTGCCGTGGGTCAGATTAGGGAAGGACAGCAGACTTTCTTCCCTAACGGGTATTAGTGAGCAAGATTGTATAATAATTGACAGTGGTTACATTCTTTGTATTTGAGGATTTTTTTCTTATTGAGTTGAATATTTTAACTACCTATCATGATGGGATTCAAGCATGTCCCCAAAGCACTAACCTGGCATTCTGGTTCATTGCCAGTGATATCGCCAGTACACATAATAAATTTCAGGGTGTGGCGCTCACATGATTTAAAATAACCCACCAATGATGGGGAAAAATGGGAGATGTGTGTTACATGAGACAAGGTCAGAGATACTGAGCAGTTGAAACTACAAAGTTTAGCAAAATCGGAGGGGCAAAACCATGAAGAAATTTGTACAAAAGACAGGAGGATCAGAATTTAAATCCTTTTTTTAGAAATCCCTCAATGGTTTTGATCAATTATGTTCACCCTCTTTGCTCTGCAATATGTTCTAGCGAGATATTCCCCTGTTGTACTTACGGTCCTCTGTTTTCACTTGGCAACAGAGTGAGAACTTGCTGTTTCCTTGGTCCTATTCTGTGTGAAATCTTGAAGTCATTCTGCCTCTCCAATTTCAACAACCTCAAAATCAGTCTTTCCTACTGTGTTTTCAGTAAATCTTCCTAATCTCTTTTGCACAAGCTGTATGTATCTATTTCTTTGTCTTTTGATGAATCACTTTAATGTTTAAAGATGCTATACTGTGACCAACTTGTGTTCTTTCTCTGTCTTTCATACTCATTATACCTTCACTTTTTTCACAGATGGGATGAACTTTGTGGATATATTCAAAAAACTTTTCGTTTACAGGTAAAGTGAGGAATTGGTAATGTAATAGTTAAAATGTGACATCACAAAATGGCCTAATTGTTGAGTATGGAGTTCATTGAGAATACAGACTAGTGATTATACACTATTACACAAACCACATCCTCAATGTGGTACTAGCTAATAGTTTTTTATCATCAAGTTGTTGAGTATTGTTGGAGCTGTACCCATCCACACAAGTGAAGGGCATTCCATCACACTCCTAATAAATGTCTTTTATGTGATGGAAGGGAATTCGGGAGACAAGTCAAGAGTTATTCACTACAAATTCTGAGCCTCTAACGTGATCTTAATAGCCGCAACATGTATGTGGTCAAGGGTCACCTCCTTTTTAAAAGTTGTTTGAGTAACTTGAGTTAAGTCAAAGTTGATGCATTGGTAGCAGAGAGCCACATATGAGAAGCTAGAAATAAATGCAAACAAGATAATCATTCTATCCAAAAGAAAGCCTAGAAACTAATGAAAACTTTAGCGCATGGTTACTGCCCTTCTGTGTCAAGAGGCTGTGGACATTATCAGTGAGGTCAGGATAGGATTGTGTTGTGTAAATTTAGGTTGTAGTCAAATGGCTGAGCAGGGGTATGACAGCCCTGGAATAGGGTTTATTCAGTTGGCTGGACAAGTAGTGCTTGGTTCACAGGAATGGCAACAGTATGCAGTTTGATGTCCATTCCAGCAGAGACAGACTTGAGGCTTTCCTACTCACCATCCTCTATACTAAAATCACACAAGCCATGTTTCAGCAATCCATGGATAAATAAGAATGCCACCTGGAGAAGAAGTGAAATTTAAAATCTGAGCTTAGCTAGGAATTAAGCACTTGCCTAACAGCCCTCACGCCAGTAGTATAATATCTTGGTGATTTTGCCCCCTAACCTTATCTCCTTGACACTGATCAGCTACAAATTTGCAATGACTGGGAACCAGCATTTACTGTTGGGAAGAGTAGATTGTTTGTCTGTCTGTCTGTTGGATACCACAGGCCAACACTGAAGGAGCAGTCCCTGTTAACAATTTAAATCTCAGGGAGGAGATTTCTGGAGAATCTCATTACTGGAAACAGTATGCATGGTCCAAGGGGCACTTTTTTTTTTCATTTTGTGGGATGTGGGCATCGCTGGCTGGCCAGCATTTCTTGCCCATCCTTAATTGCCCTTGAGAAGGTGGTGGTGAGCTGCCTTTGTGAACCACTGCAGTCCTGCTGCTGTGGGTTGACCCACAATGCTATTAGGGAGGGAATTCTAGGGAATTCCCAACTCCACAAAGAAAGTGCAAAGGAACAAAAGTTTGTTTGGGCTTTTCTCTGGCCCAGGACCCTCTTCCTGGTGCTTTACCTAGTGGTAAAGCTTACCCATTCAGGCTAGCAGTGATAATCTTGTTCAGACCTGAGGACACTGTGACCATGCTGACTTTTGGCACGTGCTTTTTCCATCCACTCCGAACACCTTTGAATTCGAATCAGCAATACGTCCATGGGACATATGTGGACAAATCTTCTGGTAATTGTTAACTGCTTTCCTAGTCTCCTCCCTGATTTAAGGTTAGAATCATCCCACCAACATGGATTTTATAATTTACAAGATTAATAATCTGGTATATCATCTATTTCTGTGCATTATCAGAGCTATATTCGGATTGAATAGAACAGTTTATTTTTTTTAAAATTTATTCATTGTCACTTACATTTTATGGTGAATAAGGCTGTAAATTATTGTGAAAAACTTCAACAGTCGCCACAATCCGGTGCCGTTTTGAGTAGTTTAAGAATAAAATGGATAGAAGAGATGACTCAATGAGAGTCCTGAGCTGGCGCACCAACGATATCTGCTCCGCCTCATTGCCTCCTGTGCCAGACCCACCATCGTAGGAATCTCCACACTTTAGGCGTCAACTGTTCGCTGCTGGGTTCACCTCTCTGGTGCCGAGTCCCAGACTGTGAATCCACACTGACCCTGCAAAGAGGAATCCCTGGATCCACTGCAGCCTCATTGACACCAGGAGTCCCAGCTCCGGGCATACCACGCTGCTGCTGCTGCTGCTGCAGCTGCCGCCTTGCCAGAACACCAGGAATCCCCACTCTGGGCCTACTGCAACTAGAAGTCCTTGGCTCCAATGCCAGACCAAGCAACTACTGCTATCTCGCCAAGAGTCCCACTCGAACTATAGATTTGTTCTGTTTCAGCTCACAAGAATCTCATTAGTATATATGTCTGATTAAACCTAAATTCTGCAGTAACGCTGGGATTTTTGGATGAATTTATCCCCGAAGGCAATTATCATTTTGCATAACTAAATGTAAATTCAGATTGCCTGTTTGACATCCCAGAGTTCTTAGATGTCTTAGTTAACTGGAATATGCATTCTTTGTAGAATAATACATATTTCGTTTGGGAGTTCCAATCATATAAACATTAAAGAAGCCAATTTAACAACATGCATGATTTAATTGTTTGTGACAACTGCACTTTGGGAGAGTCTTCTTCCAGTAAGACAGGCAACTGTAAGTGAGTTGATTGCTTACTAAGTCATTGAAAATGTGATTTGAAAGGTGACAGATGTTCCATGGCTTTCTTTATTGTGTAACAGTGGTCACTTTGGCTATTCACTTCATTCAACCGTTTAGTTTCTTGTCACAGCAAAATCCCTTGGTAGTGAAAGCTCATATGGCTTAGGATATCAGTTCAAAGGTTCACTGTTTTGTTCCAATAGGTTCCAAGAACAAATAAATGTGTCAGTGAGAGACATAACATTTTTCTGACTAATCTGTTCTCTTAACTTTGTATAATTCCATTTCTTGATAGTGGTAAATAAATGAAAAATGTAATTAAATATACTTAATGTGAATTGGCACATATTCGTATGCAGAATAAGGGGGTCATCCATTGCTTGGAAGATAAGAAATGAGTGTAGAGAAGCAGAAATTTAAGAATGCAGATGTATAAATTCTTAAAAAAAAACACAAGTCTGTATAAGCTCAACAAATGTGGACAGACAGTGCCATAAGTAACATCACCAGATTAGTAATCCAAAACCCATGTTAATGCTCTGTGTCTGCCATCTTGCCTGGCAACGTGTTACAGGCACTTACCACCCTCTGCATTTTAACAAAAACTTGTAGGGCCGGGGGTGGGGTTTGGAGACTGGATTGGGGTGGGATGATCTTTGAAGGGCCGGAATGGACTTAATGGGCAGAATGGCCACTTGCACAGTGTAGGGAGTTTTGTGATTCTCTATATATGAGGCACTGATTGTTACTCTTGTTTGTTTTCTCTTGGATGGCAGCTGCTCTCTGCCATTCACACCTCTTCAGACATATCTTCATCTTTGTATCTCATTACCACTGTCTTTCCTCTTTCTCCACCAATGCTTTTGTCATTTAATCTCTTCTGTCTTCCATCTTGTCACTGCAACTTCCTCCTACCTTTCACTTGCTTAACTTTTCCCAGTTCTGATGAACAACAATTGACCTGAAAGGTTAAGTGTTTATTTACTCTCCACCTACCTTCTGCTATAGTAGTAATTATAAATATCTTGAAGTGTTTAGAAATTTTTCAAAGTATGGAGTGACTAAAATGTTATGTATGACATGTTTTTATTTTTAACCTTTTAAAGACAAGTTTTCCAGGTTTTCCTTACTGAAAACCAAGCATGTTTTTGACAAATTGGTGATTTCTGTACATTGAATAATCTACTATTTCTAAGTCTACTGAAGGATAACTGTAATGATAATGAATTAATAGTTTAGCACAACGATCAATTCTGTTTAAATTTTGTTTCAGACGGGTGTCCTTAGGACAAACTGTGTTGACTGTTTGGATCGTACAAACACAGCTCAGTTTATGGTGGGAAAATGTGCTTTGGCATATCAGCTCTATGCGATAGGTGTAATTGATAAACCAAGACTGCAGTTTGACACTGATGCTGTTCGGTAAGCAATCCGTTCCTTATGTGGACTCTAGCTGCTTTAATTTGTTCAGATTACTGATTTTTCTTTCGTTATCTGATTTCACCCACCCCTCACAATAATTGGGGAATCTGCCATTAGACCATAAGACATAGGAGCAGAAGTTAAGCCATTCAGCCCATCAAGTCTGCTCCACCATTCAATCATGATTGATAAGTTTCTCAGCCCCATCCTACCTGTAACTCTTGGTCCCCTTGACAATCAAGAATCCGTCTATCACTGTCTTAAATATACTCAATGGCCTGGCCTCCACAGCCTTCTGCGGCAGTGAATTCCATAGATTCACCACTCTCTGGCTAAAGAAGTTTCTCCTTATCTGTGTTCTAAAAGGTCTTCCCTTTTACTCTAAGGCTGTGTCCTCAGGTCCTAGTTTCTCCTATCAATGGAAACATCTTCCCAACATCCACTCTGTCCAGGCCATTCAGTATTTTGTAGGTTTCAATTAGATCCCCCTTCATCCTTCTAAACTCCATCAAGTATAGACCCAGAGTCCTGAAACGTTCCTCCTATGTTAAGCTTTTCATTCTTGGGACCATTCTTGTGAACCTCCTCTGAACCCGCTCCAGGGCTAGTACATCTTTTCTGAGATCTCGGGCCCAAAACTGCGCACAATATATAGAGCTTCAGAAGTACATCCCTGCTTTTATATTCCAAGTCCTCTCAAAATAAATGCCAAAGTTGCATTTGCCTTCCTAATTCTGACTCAACCTGCAGATTTACCTTGAGAGAATCCTGGACTAGAACTCCCAAGTCGCTTTGCACTTCAGACTTCTGAATTTTCTCCCCATTTAGAAAATAGTCCATGCTTTTATTCTTCTTACCAAAGTGCATGACCTCACACTTTCCCACGTTGTACTCCATCTGCCATTTCTTTGCCTACTCTCCTAACCTGTCCAAATCCTTCTGCAGCCTCCCACCTCCTCAATACTACCTGTCCCTCTACCTATTTTTGTATCATCTGCAAACTTAGCCAGAATACCCTCAGTTCCATCATCTAGATCATTAATGTATAAAGTGAAAAGTTGTTCTCCACTGCTTTTCCACCACCTTTGCACCCGTGTGCTTAGCACTCCTGGCGTTAATATGTTCAAACCAACAGGGGTACTGAATTTGTTTCCCTTATTCTTTAAAGCTAGCATAACTTGGCAAATTTAAATGTAGAATTTTATTTGACAGTAAATTTAACCATTAAAAGTGGGTATATTTGAGTAGGACTTTGAAATTACAAAAGATCTGGATTGACTGAGTGGGCAAATAAATGGCAAATGAAGTATAATGTGGGAAAATGTGAAAACGTCACTTTAGCTGGACAATTTTTCTTTAACAAACAAAATCTAAATGGTGTGAGATTGCAGAGGAAACTGGATTTCCTCCTGCATGAGACACCTTTATTTAAGAGAGGAAGCAGTTCAGAGACTTTGTTTGTTTGTTTGTTTGTTTGTTTGTTTACTAGACCAATATCTGGACAACAGGGATCATCCAGGAAATTATTGGAGAAGGTGCTTAAGAACAAGATTTATTCATTTTATTTATATGGACTAATTAAGGATAGTCAGCCTGGCTTTGTGTGAGAGAGGTGTTGTCTCACAAATTTCTGTTAAATTTGATTGAGTTTTTGTTTTGAGGAAATGATGAAGCTGATTGAGGGTAGGGCAGTGGATATTGTTTACATGGACTTTACTAAGGCATTTGACAAGATCCCTCATGGTATGCTGCTCCAGAAGATTAAGTCACTTGGAATCCACGGTGCATTGGTAAGGTGGACACAAAACTTCTTGGTCATAGAAGATAGAGGGTAGTTGTAGAGGGATGTTCCTCCGACAGGAGGACCGTGACTAGTGGTATTCCACAAGGATCAGTGATGGGACCTCTGTTGTTTGTAGTATATGTAAATGATTTAGATGAAAATGTAGGTGGTCTGATTAATAAGTTTCCAGATAAAACATGAAAATCTGTGGAGTTATGGATATTTAAGAAGAAAGTTGTCATTCTTTTTCCCACGGTGGAAATGTCTCATAACTAGGGCGTTTAAGTTTAAGTTGAGAGGGAGAAAATTTAAAGGGAATGTGCGAGGTAAGTTTTTTTTTTCATGTAGGTGCCTGGAACACGCTGCCAGAGGCAATGATCGAATCAGATATGATATCAACGTTTAAGAAGCATTTGGGTAGACACATCAACAGGCAGGAAATAGGGTGTTACAAACACATGAGGCAGATGGGATATTATTTCAAAATGCGATCATGGTCAGCACAAATATGGTGGGCCAAAAAGCCTGTTCTTGTGCTGTACTGTTCTGTGATCTGTGGAATGGATGCATTGTTTTATGAGGAAAGGTTGGACAACTAAGCTTGTATCCAGTGCAGTTTAAAAGACTAGGAAGCCAACTTGATAGAAATGAATAAATTCCTGAAGGGTCTGAACAGGGTAGATGTGGAGAGGATGTTTCCTCTTATGGGAGAATTTAGAACTAGAAGTCATTGTTTAAAAATCACGAGTCACCCACTTAAGATGGAGATGAGGCATTTTTCACAGTTTTGAAAGTCACTAGAGGTTTTTACTGAAACTGGTGGAAGGCAAACCTTGAACATTTTTAAGCCAAAGTAGATTGGTTCTTGTTGAGCAAAGTCATAAGAGGTTATTGCAGTAGATGAGAATGTGGAATTGATATTACAGTCAGCCATGATCTGATTGTGACAGAGCAGGCTTGAGGGCCTGAATGGCTTACTCTTGATTTGTATGTTTGTATAATAGCCTGAAATCATATCCCAAAATGTCTTGAATTTGTCCAGTTCCAGTTTTAAAGAGTGGGACTAAGACAGGAGATGCATCCACTCTCAGGAGACAGATTGATTATTGAAATCTTTTTCAGACGCTACATTTCTTCAGTATTGCAGCTTTTCTATTTGTAATCAGTGTTGGCCAGGTTTCTAAAGCTTCAGTGAATCCAATAGATAAATAAGGATGAGAAAGGGAAGATTGATTAGGTGAGTGCATTTGCACATGCATTTTGATAAGAGTCAGAAGTGTTTACCCCGGGTCCAACAAACTGATCTGTAAATACTGAGATCCCCAATCTACCTGCTCCTGAGCTGCACTCAGTCCAGGATTTCCACTTCGAGGATGTAGCCAATCTTGTTAATCAGCTGGCTTTTGTTGAAGTTTTTTTTTAAATGCGTGCCCTAAAATTGAAACTGCAATTTTGGAAGAAACACAAATTTACTGTTTTCCGGCCTCTAACTCCTCCACACTGCTGCAAAACACATCCTGGTAAATATTGGATATTCATATCTGTCTGGCAGTTCTGTGCTCTATGTATATCTTTACCTAGTACTGGATTTAAAGAATCAACAATCTATGATTTCTTCTACACTAACTCTGAAGATTGGTAAAATTTGAAATAAAATAGTAAATTATTGAAAAGGGCAGTCTGCATGCACCACATACATGATATTATACTAATCCCTACAGGAAAAGAAGATCCATGTTTGATGCCTGGCTTTTATTCTACTTGCTTGAGTGATTAATTCAGTCTAGCAGGAGGAGGCATTACTGTTGGCCTGAGCACCTCTGAATTAAGAATGGAGAAAATGGCGATACAGTTTCAATTTTTGGACGTTGTTTGATGACACATTTATAGAAAAAAAATGTACTGTTGAGATATCCATGAGGATGGTATTGAGCTTGTTTGTAATGTCTTTTATGCACAATTAATAAGTTAATACCTCTGCATACTTGTAACTTACAATGTAGGCAGTGTAGTGTACCTACAGGAAGTACACACCGTCATGTCATTCTGCAAGGCAGAAAGCAAAAGAAAATTGCAGTAAAATTTGTTACTAGTTGCTATATCTTGAACTGATTACAGCTGTAAAGTTTACACAGAACAGGAGTAGGCCATTCAACAAACTGAGCTTGTACCCAAACTGTATTCACAAATCTTTCAGTTAAAATAGTGTCGTGTATAGACAGACCTTCCACTACCTTTACAATTGCACATTTATGTGTATTATAATGTACATTTTTGCTCAGCAAGGTTAGAGTGCATGTATAGAATACTGCAGTTTTATTGATCTACATGTAAACCATGTGTGCCATTAACATCAGATAAATTACAACTGGAGATTGGATATATATGAAAATATTGTTTTATTATTCTGTACTATTTGTCTTGGTCATAGTCATACAGTATGGGAACAGACCCTTTGGTCCAACCAGTCCGTGTCAAAACTAATCTGAGACTAAACTAGTTCCATCTGCCTATTCCTGGCCCATACCCTTCCAAACCTTTCCTATTCATGTATCCATTCAAATATCTTTTAAGCGTTGTAGTTGTACTTGCATCCACCACTTCCTCAGGAAGTTCATTCCACACGCGAACCACCCTCAATGTAAAAATTTGCCTTTTTTTTTTAAAGCTCTCCTCTCACCTTAAAAATGTGCTCCCTAGTCTTGAAATTCCCCATCTTGAGGAAAAGACAACTACCATCAACTCTATCTTACATCTCATCATTTTGTAAACTCCTATCAGGTCACCTCTCAACCTCCTACGCTCCAGTGAAAGAAGTTCCAGCCTATACAGCCTTTCTTTATAACACAAATCTTCCATGCCCAACTACATCCTGATAAATCTCTTCTGAACCCTGTCCAGCTTGATAATGTCCTTCACAGCTTTAGAGGCTAGCTAAGAATTTTGCACAGATTACCCTTGTATAATTTGAATGAGGTAATCACAGTTAACTGAGGCTGAATTCATATGCAGTGACTGGACAGTGTGTGGAACATAGGTGTAGGACATCAGCCCCCCGAGATTTCTCTACCTCATTGTAATTTTCCTTTACTATCCCCAACTCCTTTGATTTCTTTAAATATGTAGAACGCAACAATCTCAATCTTTGGTATACTCAGTAATTGAACATCCATAGCCTTCTGGTTTAGAGAATTCCAAAAATTCACCACCTTCTGCATGAATAAATTCCTCCTCATTTCAACCCTAAAGAGCCTACCTTTCATGCTAAGACTGTCCCCTGGTTTTAGACACCCACTTCCCCACTCCAGCCAAGAGAAATGTTCCTTCTAGCATTCATCAAGTTGAGCCCTTGAAGAATTGAGTATGTTTCAATGATGTCACCTTGCTGTGTTCCAAACTCCAGGCCCCCTCTCCTCCATGTATCCTTACAGGACAATCCTGCTATCGTTCAAAGATCATTCTACTGAACCTTCATTACTTTGCCTTTATGGAAAATGTCTCCTTCCTTCGTTAAGGAGACCAGAGCTGTACACAGTACTCCAGGTATAATCTGAGGACGGTTCTCAGTAGTTGCAATATGACATTTTTACTCCTGTACTTGAGAGCACCGTGACCCCCACATAAAAGTCATTCCACTGTGTCATTATATCATACAGTACAAAAGAAGTCCTTTAGACCATCAAATCTGTGCTGACCTACACTCATCCCAATTTCTAGCATTCAGCTCATAGCCTTAAATGTTATGACATTTCATGTGCTCATCCATGTACCTTTTTAAAGACAGGGGTTTCCTGCCTCTACTACCCTCCTAGGTAGTGCGTCCCAGATTCCCAAAAACCTCTTGTTGGGGGGGTGGGGGGTGAGGGAAAGGAAGATTTTTCCTTAAGTCCCCTTTCCTGCCTTTCTCCTTTTAAATTATGCACCCTCACCGTTGACACTTCAACTAAGAGGAACAACTGCTTCCTATCTGACCTCTCTATGCCACTCATAATCGTATACATCTCAAAACAATCCCTCCTCAACCTTCTCTGATCTAAATTTAAAAAAAACCCAACCCTATCCAGCTTCTCTTTATCCTAGGCAATATCTGATGAATCTCCTTTGCACACCCACCAGCAAGATCACATGCATCTTACAGTATAAAGACCAGAACTGCACACAATACTCCAGCTGGTTGGCTGGCCTTCAAGAATCTGTAGACACACAGTCCAAGACTCCTTTGTTTCTTTGAGCTTCCAAGTGTTCTGCCATTCAGTGAGTACCCCTTGTCTTGTTACTTTTTCCAGAGTCCATCAAGGTTAAATTTCATCTGACCAATCCATCTAAGACCTTCTTCACTGTCAATCAGCCAACCAATCTTTGGATTGTGCACAAACTTTATTTTTCCCCCGCCACATTTTCTTCTGTACTTTTTTATAATCACTAACAATAAAGGGACTGACCTTGTGGTAAGCCACTGGACACTGGCCTCCAGTCATTTAAACAGCCTTCTACCATCTACCCCTACTCTCTTTTTCTTACCAGTAAGCCAATTTGGATCCATCTTGCCAAATTACCGTGGATTCCATGTACTTTTACCTACTTTATCAATCACCCAAGTGAAAACTTGTCAAAGACTTTGCTGAAATTCATTTAAACTACATCAACTGCACTGACCACATCGACACACCTGGCTACCTCCTCAATTATTCAGTCACATTTGTTAGGCATGATTTCTGTCTGAAAAATGCATGCTGACTATTCCTGACCAAACCTTGCCTTTTCAAGTGGTGACTAATTCTCTCCTCCAGCAGTTTCCCCTACCACTGGTGTTGTCTCACTGGCCTGTAATTCCCTTTATCTCTACCACCCTTCTTGAAAAGTGGAACCACATTAACTGTTCTCTGGTTCTCTAGCACCTCCCTGTGGCCAGAGTGGAATTAAAATTTTGGGTCAGAGCCTGTATAATTTCTTCCATGTCTCCCACAACAGCCTGGATACAACAGTAAAACAGTCTTTCTCAAAGCCGCAACTTATATACTTTATGACTGGTAAATTATCCCTCCTCATCTTTCTTGATTTGTTTGCAGCTTTCATCACATTTTAACCATACTATCACCTTCCGACATCTCTCATCCATTGTCCATCTGAGTGGAAATCCCCTTGTCTGGTTTCATCATTTTTATTTAATCAACTGAATTGACAATTATCTTCAATGATTCCTGTTACCAGTATGAGGCCGTAGCCTCTGGGGTTCCTAAGAATCAAATCTTAACCCTTTTGCATTTTGTTTTCATTTGCTAGCTCTCTGTGATATCACAGAACACAAAATCAGGCCCTAATGGTATCATGATGACTCCAAACTCACTCTCACTGCCAGCTCATTCAACCTCACCACTATCTGTGATTTGCCACACTGTGTGTCTGATATCCAATATTAGATGAATAGGATTTGCCTCCACCTAAAGTCTGGGACTGGACTTGTCTTTGGTTCCTGCCACAAAGTCCATCTCCTAACCATTGTTTACGTCTATCACCATGGCAACTGTCTGAAGCTGAGTCAGACATTTGGAACCTTATCGTTTTGCTTGAATTCAAGATAAGCTCCCAATCTCACATCCGCTCTATCTCTAAATTGAAATCTCCATAACATCATCCTATTTCAATCCTATTTTAGTTGATCTGCTGCTGAGACCCTACCTTTTTTTACCTCTAGACTTGAATATTCCAGTGCTCTCCTAGCCAGTCTCCTAAATTCTATCTTATGTAAATTTATAGTCATCCAAAACTCCAGTACCCCATTAAGTTTCCTTCCCCATTACCCTGTACTAGCTAACTTTCTCTGGCACCCAGTCCAGTCATGTTTTAGTTTAAAATCCTTTTCTTTGATTTCAAATCTGAAAAAGGCCTCACCCCTTCCCTGTCACTATTATTTCGTCCACTCCTACAACTTGTAGAAATCTCTGCATTCATCCAATTCTGGATTTTTGCACAACCTTCAATTCTGATCTCTTCACCTCTGGCAACTACACTTTCCACAGCCTCCACCCCCCCAACGACACCCACCCCAAACTTCCACCCCCAGCAATGAATTCCCCTGCCTACACTTCTCTTTCAAAACCAATCTCTGGATAAGCTTTCAGCTACCTTGTCTTTATGTCTTTTCCTGTGGCTTAGTGTGAGAACTTTTTTAATTGCTAGTATTTAAGCCCTTTTGGGATGTTTTGCATGGTATAGCAGGAGGGAGATTGATGAGAGAACGGGATGGGCATGCAAGCAAAACTAAAATATTCACAATGCAAATGTGGACTTCAAGATGTTCCTGTTTTAAAACCTTAGTAAAGAAAGTAAAATTGCTCTTACTCTTAAATTAATTTCCTGATAGATTATTTGAAGAACTGTATGAAGATCACGGTGATACACTGTCTTTGCAATATGGAGGTTCGCAGTTAGTACATCGAGTGAAAACTTACAGGAAGATTGCACCATGGACACAACATTCTAAGGACATCATGCAGACACTTTCTAGGTACTACAGTAATGCATTTTCAGGTAATCTATGACCTTTATAATTTTTTTAACTATTCTTCAACATTGTTAAGCTTCTCAAAAGTAGACCCTGATGCAATCCTCACATTGTGCTTGAGCAATGAAAAGATTTTTCTGAATTTTTCTTTGTGCATGTATTATATTGTATGTCTGCATCCATTGCCACTGAAAATCTTTACCTGTGCTGTTTTTTCTCTTTCTAAGTTTTTAGCTTTTTCAATATCTCTCCCTAGCTTCCCTTTTATACACATTCCTCCAGGATATTCATAAATGTATGTACAGTTGTATCACAGCTCTCATGGCCTTGGTCCATCGCAAAGTGCTTCAAGGCCAATGAAATGCTTTGGATATTGTCACTTCTTGCACAGAAAAGCACAGTTGTTCATTCTACACAGTGAGATCCCACAGAAACCAGTGAGATCAATAACAGATTATTAAGCAAAATTAATGTTAGAAATCTGAAATAAAAACATAGTGCGTGAAAGTCTCAGCAAGTCAGGCATCGTTGGAGAAACATTTCAAGTTGAATGTGAAGCTGGGTTTTGAAGAGTCATATTCAAATCAAAACTGTAATCCACACCTGGCAGACCTGCTGAGATAAATATGGTGATGATTTGTGGATAAATATTGGCCAGGAGACCACAGAGGTCCCTTGTAAATTATGTCAATTCTGTCATGGCGTCTGTTTAGTTGTTCTGAATGTAGACAGGGCTTTGACTTAACTTTGGTCAAAAAGAAAGCAGCTTCAATGAATTGTCAACCAAGATTGTATCACATGCGTGCTGTGCTCACCTGTTGGCATTGTCACCAGAAATGGTCCATCTCCAGGACTTAAGCACAGCATTCTAGATTGAGATTTCAGTACCATTCTGAGGGATTTCTGCACCATCCGAGGTCGTGTCATTTAGATAAGAAGTTGAACCAAAGTTTAGACTACCGTCCCAGATGGTGTAAAGAATCCCATACTGCTACTTTGAAAAAGAGCATGTGAGTTATCCTTTGTGTCTGGCCAATGCTCATCTGTCAATCAACATGATTAAAACGGACCATCTAATCATTATTCCTACAAACTTTACAGTGATAAAAAACAAAGAGCTGGAGAAACCTGGCAAATCTGACATCAGTTGGGGAGATAGAATCCAAGTTAATGTTCAGAACCTGGGTTTTGAAGGAAAGTCATATTGAATTTGAAACATTAAATGTTTCTTTCTCTCCATTGATGCTGTCATACTCAAGTTTCTCCATCATTTTCAGTTTTTATTTCAGATTTCCTATGTCCACAGTATTTTGCTTTTGTTTTACTGGTGTAGGAAATTTGTGTACAAACTGGCTACATTGCTCCATAGTAACAACGGTACCTACAATTTAAAAAGCACCTTCTTGCTTGTAACGTACTTTGGGATGTCAGAGATAGTGAAAGACTTGATATAAAACACAAGTCTTTCTTCCTTTATGTATACGTGTGTTTGTGTGTCTGCAGCTCAACCTCACTTGTGACACAGAGTCAATGCTATTTCACCGTAAGAGCTGGATTTTCAATCTGTTTTCAGAGGGTCATGTGACTTTGGAATTCTCCGCTTCAGGAGGCGAGATCATTAAATATTATTAAATCAAAGGTTGGTAGGTTTTTGTTAGGCAGGGAAATCAAAATATGTTAGAGTATATTGGAAGCACAAACTGATCAGCCACAATTTTATTAATGGCTCAGTAGTCTTGAGGGACCAAACTATCTACTTGCGCTTATTCCACATGTTTGTAAACATCTGCAAGAGCCCACTGGACTCAGTTTAGTGGTGGGGGGAGCTGACAGTTAACCTTGCCAACTGGCATGTTGAGTCAGGCATTGTGTGTGGAGACAAGTCAAAATCATGACCAGATCAAGAAGGATGATGGTAATATTGTGATGATGTTTAATTAAAACAAAGAACTGTGGATGCTGGAAATCTGGAACAAAAACAGAACTTGCTGGAGAAACTCAGAAGGTCTAGCAGCATCTGTGGGGAGAAAGCAAAGTTAATGTTACAAGTCTGGTGACACTTCAAGTGTTCTGGACTCAAAACGTTAACTCTGCTTTTCCCCACACATGCTGCCAATCCTGCTGAGTTTTCCCAGCAATTTCGGTTTTTGTTGTGGGATGTGCTATACCATGGACTGCTGCACTTAACAATAACTGCCTCACTCCCATTTTGCAAGGGCAGTTAGAAATGGACAACAAATTGTAAACAAAGATAGTAGGAACTGCAGATGCTGGAGAATCCGAGACAACAAGGTGCAGGGCTGGATGAACACAGCAGGCCAAGCAGCATCATAGGAGCAGAGAGGCTGACGTTTCGGGCCTAGACCCTTCATCAGAAAAGGGGGAGGGTTAAGGGGGTTTTGAAATAAATAGGGAGAGAGTGGGAGGCGGATAGAGGATAGGTGGAGAGGAAACAAACAGGTCGAAGAGGCGGGGATGGAGCCAGTAAAGGTGAGTGTAGGTAGGGAGTTAGGAAGGGGATAGGTCAGTCCAGGGAGGACGGACAGGTCAAGGGGGCGGGATGAGGTTGGTCGGTAGGAGATGGAGGTGCGGCTTGAGGTGGGAGGAGGGGATAGGTGGGAGGAAGAACAGGTTAGGGAGGCAGGGACGAGCTGGACTGGTTTTGGGATGTGGTAGGGGGAGGGGAGATTTTGAAACTTGTGAACCGTAACTTCCCCTCCTCGGTGGTCGAGAACGCCCTCAACCGTGTCTCCCACATCTCCCGCACCTCATCCCTCACACCCCGTCCACGCAATAAGAACCAAAAAAGAATCCCCCTCGTCCTCACGTACCACCCCACCAACCTCCGGATCCAACGCATCATCCTCCGACACTTCCGCCATCTGCAATCCGACCCCACCACCAAAGACATCTTTCCCTCCCCACCCTTATCTGCTTTCCGGAGGGACAACTCTCTCCGTGACTCCCTTGTCCGCTCCACACTCCCCTCCAGCTCCACCACACCCGGCACTTTTCCCTGCAACCGCAGGAAGTGCTACACCTACCCCCATACCTCCTCCCTCACCCCCATCCCAGGCCCCAAGAAGACTTTCCACATCAAGCAGATGTTCACCTGCACATCTGCCAATGTGGTATACTGCATCCGCTGTACCCGGTGTGGCTTCCTCTACATCGGGGAAACCAAGCGGAGGCTCGGGGACCGCTTTGCAGAACACCTACGCTCGGTTCGCAATAAACAACTGCACCTCCCAGTCGCGAACCATTTCAACTCCCCCTCCCATTCCTCAGACGACATGTCCATCCTGGGCCTCCTGCAGTGCCACAACGATGCCACCCGAAGGTTGCAGGAACAGCAACTCATATTCCGCTTGGGAACCCTGCAGCCCAATGGTATCAATGTGGATTTCACAAGTTTCAAAATCTCCCCTCCCCCCACCGCATCCCAAAACCAGTCCAGCTCGTCCCTGCCTCCCTAACCTGTTCTTCCTCCCACCTATCCCCTCCTCCCACCTCAAGCCGCACCTCCATCTCCTACCGACCAACCTCATCCCGCCCCCTTGACCTGTCCGTCCTCCCTGGACTGACCTATCCCCTTCCTAACTCCCTACCTACACTCACCTTTACTGGCTCCATCCCCGCCTCTTCGACCTGTTTGTTTCCCCTCCACCTATCCTCTCCTCTATCCCTCTTCTATCCGCCTCCCACTCTCTCCCTATTTATTTCAAAACCCCCTTCCCCTCCCCCTTTTCTGATGAAGGGTCTAGGCCCGAAACGTCAGCCTCTGCTCCTATGATGCTGCTTGGCCTGCTGTGTTCATCCAGCCCTGCACCTTGTTGTAACAAATTGTGAACAATGCTCACATTCCCAATAAAAAATAAACTAAAAACGTAGGCTTGTAACTGCCTAATCAAGTTCAATTTAAGTCCAATTTCACAAACCAGTGTGGCCAGTTTATGTGCTTCGACTTAGACACCAGCAACAGGCTGAGATGGGAGCAGAACTCCAGGCTTAGTCAGAGGTACTCCCTGCTTGCCTCCGATTCCGAAAGGGTTGTCACTACCCCACCCACCCCACTGTTGGGCCTGGTTTCTGAACCTAGTTATTTTTAAAGTTAGATAGAGAATGCCTTCATTACAGGTTGCTAGAAAGTCTCATATTCCTCCAGCTTCAGGAGCTCTCTAACTGCCCGTAACTGAGTCAGAAGAAAAATTTCCTTGATGGCAGTTAGGCGGATGCCTTAATGAAAATCATAATGAGTGACCCTTTCTGAAAGAGGGTGGATCCATGACACAAACTGTTCTGACATCTGTTTTGCATCTTTTATAGCAAATACCCTGCCTGGTGCTTCCATTCTTCCCAAAGTTCACTGACTCCTGAAACAATTCTATTTTTAAAAACTTCCTGATTGTTTACAAACCCCTGTTGCTAAGCTGCTTTCTAACTGTGACTTGTATAATGGCACTTCCAATGAGGTCAGTGTCTATCCTTGAAAAGAGGACTATATCCATCTCACTGAGAGATTGCTGGGAAGTGGTATCTGTTTTTAAATTGGTCCAGTAACTTTATAGTAAATATAGCTTGTGTGTTTTTATTGTCATTGTCTTTAATGGATAAAATGTGGGATTGGAAACAATCTAGGTCACTGAGCATGCAAAGGGAAGGTATTGTTTTAAGGAGGTAGAGTTCATTTCAAGAACAATTTAAACAATGGTTTTAAACTTCCAAGTGTTCACTTGGAGGAAATGTTGACTCTAAACCTTTATTCAGTAGAAGTGATGAAGAAGCTGAAGATTGGTGTCAGAATTGGATATTAAAATTAAGTTTTTAGTCTTCGTTGCATTGTCAAGAGGCGAACCGAATAGAGGCAAGGCACCTTCCTATGGTCGCCATAGTGTTACCAGACCATAGGGCTGCTCTCATTAGAGTGAGGTGACCAGCAGTTTAACCAGAGGATCACCATGTTTCAGGCAAGGGGAGAGGTTGAGACGGAGAGTCTGTCGTGATAACCTCAGCAGTGTAGGAACCTCTCACTTGCAAAACAGCCATCCAGCCTACTGAGCCATCAGACTCGCTTAAGGAGATTGTAATTGACTGGTGTTTAGCCTAAAATGATTCTACCTAACACTTCCCTCATGGCTGTTTTCCAGAGTGGCAGTCATTAAAGACTGATGTCTAAGACAAGCGTAAATTAAGTATCTAATGGTATATGTCACGGAAAATTCTATTCCATCTATAAACATCAAATATCTGTTGAAATATGTAAGTTTTCTATTTTGTGTTTAAAAGATTTTTTTAAATGTTACAGATGCTGATAGACAGGATGCTATCAATCTGTTTCTTGGAGTCTTCCAGCCTATGGAAGGAAAATTTCATCTCTGGGAGCTTCCAACTGACTATTACTTGCATCACAAGAACACAGTGGAATTGTTATGCCCCAAGAGAAGGTAATGAATAGTCAGTAGCAGGGTTATCCAATCTTTGTGCAAGTTGGGGGTTGGGGACAACATTTCAACATTTTCTTGCTGGGTTGGGAATTGTGGTTGGTGAGCAAATTCCAGAACAACAAAATCTAGCACCCCAGTAAACATGAATTTCAGAAAAATTAATCAAAGCAATCAATGGATAATTTAAGTAAATGAGTAGTTAGTAAAAATAGTAATTAAAAAGTCAGCAAAGCTAACACTCACAGGTGTGCATTGCCCCCTCTCCCAGGCTGCTTTATGAAGATCATTTTGAGAAGAGAAGATTAGGAAGGGAAGGGGTGCGTATGTGTGTCCAGCTCATTCACTGCCTTGGGGTTCATACCCTGTCGCCCTTTTCCCATTCGCTTGGCATTCCCTCTTATTTGCACACACATCCCTGTGTTGCGAGAGGATCATCTCTTGTGCATTGCCTCTCTCTCACAGGTGTGCATTACCCTCTTGTTCCTCATGTTTCCTCTCTCACACACTTTCCCCTCACAGTGCTTTCTTCCACCCACTTCACTCACACACGTGTAATCTCTCTGTCCCTGTTTTGCACAAACACGCTCACCTTTGCACAAATCTTGCATCCTTCCTTTACTCTCAGACACTCTTATACTCTCCCTGTCTCACTGATGTTTTCTCACATGGTCTCTTTCCCTCCTTAACATGCACTCATTTGCTCAGCCTCCCTTGTACCTGCTCACCCTTCCTCTCTCACCCTACATCTCTTACTATTTACTCTTCACTCCCTGCTGTTACTCACCCATCCCTCACCAGTCAACCATTCACCCTCTTCACCAACACCACCCCCCCCCCACCCAATTCACCTGCTCACCCTCCCTCTTCACATTTAAGATGTCTTCAACTGTGTTTTGTGGCACTAACACCATGTGAAATGGGACAGACTTTGACAGATCTAGCTAGACTCAATTACCAAAAGAAGGCAGTGGTGCAGTGTTTGTTTCACCAGACTAATAATCCAGAACCCCAAGCTAATATCTTGGAGACATGGGTTTGAATCCCAACATGACAAATAGTGAAATTTGAATTCAGTTTAAAAAAAAAAGTTGGGATTAAAAGCTAACCTAATGACAACAATGAAGCTGTTGATTAGAAATGCTCATCTAGTTTCACTAGTGTCCTTTGGGGAAGGAAATCTGATGTACTTACTTGGTTTGTCCTACATATGATTCCAAACTCTCAAGGACGTGAATTGACTCTTAACTGCCCTCTGAAATCACTTAGCAATGTCATTTACTGATGGGCAACAAAGGCTAACCTTGCCAGTGTTGGCCACATCCCATACAAGAATAATGAAATAAAAGCTCTTAATTATGGCCCATATCCCCAACTCCACTGTTATCATCAAGCCCACAAATCCACGTTGCTCAATGAAGAGTGCAGGAGCAACACCAGGTATTCCCAAATATGAGGTATCACCTTGGTGAAATGACAACACACAGCTACTTGCTTACCATATAATTGAAGCTGCATGCAATAAACAGGGGTAAGGGAACCCACAACCAAAGATTCACATTTAAGTTCTATAATTCTTCTGTATCCAATTTGTCAATGGCAGTGGACAATCAAACAACTCCCTGTAGTTGGAGGCACCACAGATATCCGCATCCATGACAATGTATGAACTTAGCATATTATTGAAAAAGATAAAGCTGAAAAATAACTTCCATCTTTTATTCGGAAGTGCCGAGTAAATGATCCAACTCTTCACCTTTGGATATCCCCTGCATCTCAAATGCCGGATTTTAATCAATTTGATTCACTCACCTGGCTAAAGGCACTGACTCTGACAACGTTCCACAATAATATTAAATACCTGTGCTTCAGAACTTGCCACAGCTCTAGCCAAACTATTCCAGTACAACTACAACTCTGGCATCTATTGGCATGTGGAAAATTGCCCATATACATCCAGTACAAATCCATCCTGATGAATTACTGCTTTATCAATATAAACTAAATCAGCAAAGTCATAGGAGGGGCCATTGATAATGCAACACTTTCACAGGAATAACCTGCTCACTGATGCTCATTTTGGTTGCCCCAAGGCCACTTGGCTTGATACCTCATTGCAACCTTGGCCAACAAATTGACAACAGTGCTGAAATCCAGAGGCAATTTGATGGTGACTGGTGTTGAGATTGTCCACATTTGACCGTGTGTGGTATCAGCACTCCTAGCAAAACTGAAGTCAATGGAAATCAGGGGTCGAACTCTCTGCTGGTTGGAGTCAGACCTAGCACAAAAGAAGATGGTTATGGCTTTTGAAGGTCAATCATCTCTGCCACAGGCCATCACTGCAGGCGTTCCTTAGGTAACACAGTGTGGAGCTGGAGGAACACAGCAGGCCAAGCAGCATCAGAGGAGCAGGAAAGCTGACGTTTCGGGTCGGGACCCTTCTTCAGCATTGTGGGGGAGGGGTAGGGGGCTCTGAAATATATAGAGAGAGGACGGGTGAGGCTGGGAAGGTCGGTGGGATGGCGATAGGTGAGTGCAGGCAGGCAATGGTGGGGGTTGGTCAGTGAAGTGGGAGGAGCGGATAGGTGAGAGAGAAGATGGACAGGTCAAGGAGGCGGAGATGAAAGTGAGGGTTGGTCATGGGATGAGGTCAGGGGTGGGGACATTTTGAAGCTATTAAAGTCCACATGGAGACCATGGGATTGTAGGCTCCCAAGGTGGAATATGAGATGCTGCTCCTTCAGTTTCCGAATGGCGTCGTTGCGACACTGGAGGAGGCCCAGTATGGACATGTCGTCCAGGGAGTGGGAGGAGGAGTTGAAGTGGTTCACGACTGGAAGGTGTTGTTGTTTGTTGCGAACCGAGCGCAGGTGATCTACAAAGTGATCACACCGATGTAGATGAGGCCACATCGGGAGCAGCGGATGCAATTGACCACATTAGCGGATGTGCAGGTGAACATCTGTCTGATGTGGAATGTTCTTTTGGGGCCTGGGATGGAGGTGAGGGGGGAGGTATAGGGGCAGGTGTAGCACTTCCTAAGGTTGCAGGGAAAGGTGCCGGGGGTGGTAGGGCTAGTGGGGATTGTGGAGTGGACAAGGGAGTCGCAGAGAGAGCAGTCCCTCCGGAAGGCAGATAGGGGTGGAGAGGGAAATATATCCTTGGTTGTGGGGTCAGATTGCAGGTGACAGAAGTGGTGGAGAATGATGTGTTGAATCTGGAGGTGAGTGGGATGATACATGAGGACAAGAGGGATTCTGTCTTTGTTTTTATTGCGGGGTGGGGGCTGAGGTGCAGGAAACGCAAGAGATGTGGTTGAGAGCATTTTCGACCACTGGAGAGGGGAAGTTGCGGCCCTGGAAATACGAGGACATCTGGGATGTTCGGGAGAGGAATGCCTCATCATGGGAGCAGATGCGGCGGAGGCAGAGGAATTTGGGAGTAGGGGATTGCATTCTTGCAGGAAGGTGGGTGAGAAGAGGTGAAGTCTAAGTAGCTATGGGAGTCAATGAGCTTGAAATAGACATCAGTTTTGAGGTAGTGACCAGAGATGGAGACAGAAGTCCAGGAAGAGAGAGAGGTATCAGAGATGATCCAGGTGAATTTGAGGTTGGGGTGAAAGGTGTTAGTAAAGTTGATGAACTGTTCGAGCTCCTCGTGGGAGCACGAGGCGGTGCCAATGCAGTCATCGATGTAGCAGAGGAAGAGGTGGGGGATAGTGCCTGTGTAGCTGCGGAAGAAGGACTGTTCCACGTATCCTATGCATAGCTTGGGCCCATGCAGGTTCCCAAGGCCACTCACTTAAGTTGTAGGAAGTGGGAGGAGTTGAAGTTGAAGTTAAGGGTAAGGACGAGTTCAGTTAAGCGGATGAGGGTGTCGGTGGAGAGGGGCTGGTTGGGCCTGTGGGCGAGGGAGAAGCAGAGGGCTTTTAGGCTATCTGCACGGGGAATACAAGTGTATAGGGATTGGAGGTCCATAATGAAGATGAGGTGTTGGGGGCCAGGGAATTGGAAGTCTTGGAGAAGATGGAGGTCATGGGTGGTGTCCCAGATGTAGGTGGGGAGTTCTTGGACCAGACGGAGAAGATAGAGTCGAGATAAGCGGGGATAAGTTCAGTGGGGCAGGAGCAGGCAGAGACAATGGGTCAGCCAGGACAGTCGGGTTTATGGATTTTGGAAAGCAGATAGAAACGGGTGGTGCGGGGTTGGGGAACGATGAGGTTGGAGGCTGTGGGCGGGAGGTCATTTGAGGTGATGAAGTTATGGATGGTCTGGGAGATGATGTTTTGGTGGTCAGGGGTGGTGTCATGATCAAGGGTGGGGTAGGAGAAGGTGTCAGAGAGTTGGTTCCTGGCCTCGGCGATGTAAAGATCAGTGCACCATACTTCAGTATGCCAAACATCAGCTTTCCTGTTCCTCTGATGCTGCCTGGCCTGCTGTGTTCCTCCAGCTCCACACTGTGTTACCTCAGACTCCAGCATCGGCAGTTCTTACTATCTCTGAAGGGGTTCCTTAGGGTTGTGTTCCAGGTGTAACCACCTTCAATGGCTTCAATTCGTGAACTTCTTTCCATTGTTATGTCAGAAACAGGGATGATTGCACAATATTCAGTACTGTTACCAATGTTTCTACTGAGACACAAGCTCATTCAGTCTTTGCTGATAGTTAAAACCTCACCATTCTGCCATGAAACTTGTAAATCTTTTATTCTCACTAGTATATATTATCCCTTTTGTAATATGGAGTGCAGAACTGTTCATAGTTCTTGTGTGTTATACCCATTGCTTTATTGTTTTAACATTACCATGCTACCTTTTAGTTCTATTTCTGTTGAAATGCTCCTGTGTTTTGTGTTTTTGCAGCCTTGTTACACTATTGCTACATGCAGTGATTTGTAAATCTGATACTTGTTCAGTGTTTTACAGTATTCAAATTCTTTATAAATGGCCTACGTGGCTTCCTTTGTTACTCCTACCAATGTACACCTTTGCATTTATATTGTAAGTCATGAGCCATTTACACACCCAACATGAAAATTTATCAATACTATCTTGTATTTTTCCACCATCTCACTTAATTTGGTCGGATGTAATGCACTTGTAATATAATGTTAAAATTATAGCTCTGATTCTAAAGTCCACCATATATTTAAACAATTTGAATAATTACTGATCATCGTGGAGTACTGCTTCTGACTTTTTACTAGCCTGATTTAAGTATCTTTATTTACCACTTTTTGTAGTTTATTTTATACCCAACTTCCTATCATTCTGTTACTCTTTTCACCTGAATCTATAGTAAACTGTGTGTAATTTACTTTTGTTTATATGCAAGATATTTGTGTATCTTATATCAATATTTATATGTAAATATTTGGCAATGCTTTTGCATTTTTTGTAGCTATACTCATTGGTGGACACCAGAGGTACTAATCCATTTACCATTGCCTTATGATGAAGGTACGAAAGTTTGCATGTTAACTTCAATTTGGATACTCTAAAAGTACATTTTTAAAAGATGCAATGAATTTGATGATGCATCAAAAAGGTATTATAAACTTTATTTACAGCACTTAACTGTTGGGGCATTCTGAGAGTGGCTATTATAATAATCAGAATGTATTAGTGTATTGTTTTATTCATTCAGGCTATGGTATTGCTGGCAAGGTCAGCATTTATTGTCCATCCCTAATTGCCCTGGAGAAGGTGGTAGTCTGACTTTTTAGAAATATTGAAGCTCTTGGAGCATAGCCACAAAGCTCTGCTGCTAGAAATGAAGTTCTAGGATTTTGAAACCGTTCCAAATCAAGACAGTATGTAGCTTGAAGGAGAATTTGTGGATGGCTGTGTTCCCATGCATTTGCTGTCTTTATCTTAACTGGTAAGGTCACAGGTTTGGAAGGTGCTTTTGAAGGAAGTTGGGTGAGTTGTTACAATGCATTTTGTTGATGGTGCTGTCATTGTGCATCAGTGGTGCATGGATAAATTACGAAGTTTGTGAATGGGGTGCCAATTAAGCAGTCTGCCTGCTTGCTGGATAGTGCCAAGCTTGAATGTTGTTTACTCCTCATCTCTGGAATACAGCTCTCGTTCATGTTTTGACTATAGGTGTAAAGAGGTTAGGAGCCAATTGGCCCTGATGGAACAAAAACTGAGTGGTCGTGAGCACATTATTCCTTTGCAAGTGCCACGTGATAACACAGCCAATAACCCCTTCTGTTACTTCGCTATGATCAAGAGTAGACTGAAGGACGGTAATTGGCTAGGTTAGATTTGCCTTTTATTTGTGGGCAGAACATGCCTGGGCATTCTTCCATGTTGGCAGGCTGATGCCAGGGAGTTTTGAGTTAGGTTGCTTTATTGTTCCCTTTTGAAGGAATACACTGACTATGCTCTAATCATAAAATCATACAGTACTGAAGTGGTTCTTCAGCCCATCAAGTCTGTATCACCAAATATACGCAACTACCTACAATAGTCCCACTTCTCACACTATGCCCATAACCTTTTTAATAATATGACACTTCGTGTTCATCCAAGTACTTTTTACAGGTTGTAAGGATTCTCGCCTCGACTAGCCTCCCAGGCAATGCATTCCAGACCCCATCAGCCTCTTGGTGAAAAAGGTTTTCTTCAAATCCCCTCCAAACCTCCTGCCTTTTGTTTTAAAATTAACAGGCTCAATTCACACAAACAGCCTTATACCACTGCCCTCGCTAAGCCAATTTTTGAGTCCATCTTGCTTTGTTACCCTGGATCCCATGTGTTTTTACCTTATTTATCAGGCTCCCATGTGGAACCCTGTCAAAGGCCTTGCTGAAATCCATATAAACTACATCAGTTGCCCTACCCTCATCCAAACACTTGGTCAGCACCTCAAAATTCCACCAGATTTGTTTGCTTTCAAAGTCGTGCTGACCGTCCCTGATCAAACCTTGCCTCTCTAAATGGGGATCAATCTTCTTTCCTCACTATTTTTTGTCCAATAGTTTCCCATCAGTGATGTTAGACTTATGGTCTGTAGTTCCCTGGTCTATCTCTACCACCCTTCCTGTAAGGTAGAGCAACACCAGCTGTCCTCCAATTCTCTGGCAACTCCGCTGTAGCCAGAAGCTATTTAAAAATTTGGGCCAGGGCATCTGTAATTTCCTTCTCATCTCCCTCATCAGCCTGGGATACAACTCATCTGGATTTGGGGATTTTGTCCATTTTTAAACCTGCCAAAACATTCAATACCTCCTCACTTCTTCTATCAATCTGAAAAACTTCACACTCTATCTTCTTGAATTGTGAACTCGCATCCTGCTTTGAGAAAAGACGGATGTGAAGTACTGATTTAATACTCTACCAATGTTTTCCGGCTTCGTGCACAAATTAACCCCTTGGTCCCGATAGACCCTACTCTTCCTCTGGTTATTCTCTTCCCAATGATATACTTGTAGAATATCTTGGATTCTCCCTAATGTTTCACGCCAGTGTTTTTATGCCCCCTCTTTGCCCTTCTAATTACTTTCTTAAGTTCAACCCTGTACTTCCTATATTCCTCTAGGGCCTCTGTTGATTTGCTCCAATTATACCTGTTATACAGCTCCCTTCTTATTTTTATCTAGTCTTGCATATTCCTAGACACACACGGTTCTTTGGGCTTGTTGCTGCTACATTACACCTTAAAGGGAATATGCTGGGCATGTACTCCTCACGTTACCTTTTTGAACACTTCCTACTGATTTACCATCAAGTAGATATTCCCAGTCTCTCTTGGCCAGATCCTGCCTTATTTTAATAAAAACTGTCTTGCCCCAAACCAAAACCCTTTTTTTGTAGACCGTTTTCCTCCTTTTCAGTAACAAGCATAAAATGTACAGTGTTGTGGTCACTCATTAAAATGCTCCCTACTGCCACTTCTAAAACTATCCTGCTTGATTCCCCAAAATTAGGTCCAACACTGCACCATCATTGTTGGATCTTTTACATGTTGACATTAAAAGCTCTCCTTTATATATTTCAAGAAATCTGCCCTCTAAATGTTTTATACTATGATTATCCCAATTAATTTTGGAGCAGTTGAAATCACCTAATATAAATACTCTATTCTTATTTTTCCATACCTTAGTAAATTGACCACATATTTGCTCCTTAATTGCCTGGTTATTGTTTGGGGCCTATAATACACTCCTGGGAGTGTGGCTGCCCTTCTTGTCTTCCTATGTTTTACCCACAAAGCCTCATTTGATGACCCTTCCAAGGTATCATCTCTCTTTATTGCATTGACCGACGACTTAACCAATAGGATACCATCTCCACTTTTGCACCATCCCCTGTCCTGCCTGAAGATCCTAATCCCCGGAATATTAAATTGCTTATCTTGTCCTTCCCTCAACCATGTCTTTGTGATGGCAACACCATCATAGTTCCATTGTCAGTTATGCCATTAACCTTCGGTTTCTGTCTATTTGCCCATCTCTGTTCCCTTCCCCCCAGTTAATTATTCCTACCCTGGATTGTTCATTGTTCTTTTCCACTGTAATCCCGATCCTTCTGATATGATGATCACTATCCCCTAAGTGTACCCGCAATGATACTTGATCTGCTTGACCCACCTCATTCCCAAGAAACAGGTCCAGTAGTGCCTCATTTCACATTGTTGCTGGACACATCTTCGCGTCACAATTCACCTTTGTGTTTTCAAATAAACCTGTTGGACTATAACCTGGTGTCATGTGATTTCTGACTTTAGCCAGACTTGTGTACAGGTATTGAATTCAAAATTTCTTCATCTGCCATGGCGGGATTCAAGTCCCAGTTCAGAAGCCTGGGTCTCTGGTTTGCCAGTCCAGTGACATTACTAGTATGCCATCACCTCCCATAGTGCACTTACCACATTCAGAATAAGGAAATAGCATAATTTGATTGGTAAAATTATGTAGAAAAGTTGGTGTATAATGTTGATGTTTTTCATAATAAATGCCATAGCTGTGATGTTAAATAACTACAACATTTAAGAAAGATGCAGCTTTTCATCTGTGCATCTTGAAAAGTGAAATGTGATTGTCTTGACTCAAACTTCTTAAACTTCCCTTGATTCAAGCAAGTGCCCCTACTGGATTTGTAAAATTGCCACCAATTTCAATTTTAAAATTACAGGCTAAAATATTCCAGTTATGTTAATACACCATTTTATTTTGATCAGTCTACTAAACTCAAAAACTAATAAAATATTTTCCTCTCCATTCATCTCTTTAGTTCCTTGCACTGAAAATCTTAAAAAGCTGACAGTCATGAAGAAGTTGGATAAATCTGATGAAGAAATAGATGTATACACAGAATTCTTCAGGCCGTATGAGCTGAGTTGTTTCGATGATGCATTTTGCCTAACAATGACAAATTCAGCCAAGTATGTAATCTTTTCTCTTCCTTAGCTACCCCCTGCTCTACTACATGCTTAAATACCAATGAAAATATATTTAAATATGTTTTAGCCATTTTGATTTAAGAGAATTTAAAGATAATCTCAGACTACCTTACTCTTGATGTTTGATAAATCATACGAGATGAATTTGTTACCTTTGAGATATGTCAACACTTAAATGAGGTGATATTTGCACCACTTCAGGAAATAGCCCCTTAATATGAGGAGTCAGGTGCAGCCCCAATCATGTCTAAAAATGAGACACCAATTTGCATAAACTGCAACACTGCCAGTGATGCCAACATTCCATGAACGAATATAAAACAAGTGAATAATACAAGTTCAAAACTTTAAGACCTCACCCACACCCCTCCACAAACAGCCCACAATACCAGCACTGTGGGTGCCTGCAGCAATTCAAGAAGGCAGCTTAACATCACTTTAAGAGCAGTTGGGGAGGTGATGCCTCGCAAGGAATGAACAAAAACAAATGTAGACATTCTAGCAATAGCAAAAATGAAATGTTAAAGATTCAGAACATTCTGTACATTTCATCAATAGTTTAATTCTATAGCCTGCAGATGTAACTTGATGAGCCTTACCCAGTGGCATTTTGGTGTATGTTTTGTAAAAGTTTCACTTAATTTTTCAAGCCATTAGTTTGTAACAGAAGAGTATGCTTCCGATATTGATCGAGATCGAGGGAGTTGGAGAGCTATAAGCTCTCCGTTCGCATGCATGATAGAGTGATAATATCATGACCATATCTCTTGAAGGTATACTGACAAATGGATTATGTGCCATAACACAAAGATGATAAGTATGTAGGAATTATGACGAGTTCTGATGCCTTGCTTGTTTGTTTTTAAAATTCCGAATAATGAGTCTTATTATTACGCTATAGCTTTGTTGTACTGTTTTTGCATAAAGGGACTTCATGCCAAAGCATGTTGGAATTGACCCAAGTCCTTTCACTATTCGCAAACCAGAAGAAACCGGCAAATCCATGCTGAGGTAAAGAGCTGGTAACTAGCTTTAGTTGTTTCTATTCTTTTAACTATACAAAACATTTTGTACTAACTGCAATCATTAATTTTAACCAAGAATGTATATCTTGGCGGATATGCCCAAGTAAATTAAAACCTAATACAGAAGCAAGATACTGCAGGTGCTGGTGATTACAGGTCTGGCATCATCGATGGAGATATAAACAGATGTTGCAGAACACAAAACGTGATTCCCTTATGTTCAGGTTGTTTATTCTGTCTACTCTTTGTACAGTTCCTTTCCTCTGGTTTCTGTTCCCTCTCTGCAGCTTCCCCTAATATTCACTGCTACCACCTTCATAATTGCGAATTTGTGATTAGGCTCTTGGAGAAAGTATTGACTCCACCTCCAAGATTGGATACAGTACTGTATGACCTGCTTAATATATCAAGTGACAGTAAAACAATACCGGTGCTCTTCCAAAAACATTTACATGAAGATGAGTTTACTTCCATAAGAGTGCTTCACCTAATGCTGCCATTGTCTCCCATAATCTCCCATAGAATAAGAAACTAAACGTAGATATTATGAAATTGAAGAATCTAATTGCCATTTATTACAACTAACTATTACGCACAGATTACATTCCTTGGGTGTATGTGTCTGGGGTGACTGAAGAGCTATCTTCCAGCAGTGGAATGCTTCAGGTGATCTGAGATACAATGGAGTTGGTGAACTATAAATTGTCAGGTCACATGCTGTAGTACAGTGATGGTATTATGAAGATATACTGACTTACTGACTGAGACATAACAACAAATATCAAACGTCAAAGCAGGAGATTATATTTTACCGATCCTAACAGGAAAATGCTGAATAATCAATTTATCTTCTCTAACTTGTACAGTTAATGCAGAAAGCTGAATCTGTTGAAGTTCATTTTGACAAAACTCGACAAAATAGATTTGTTGGAAAGCTGTGTGAAATTCTAGCTTGGATATCAAAAATGCAATTAACATTCAAAGTTGGAAACAAAAATACTATTTCAAATCAATGTGGCGTATTAGTGCATAAGAATTCTCAATATTGTTACAGTTGTTGCAAAGTGCACCAATTACTCAACGGGGGGGGATATGATAACTTGAGTAAACGTGAAGAATAAAAGAAGATAGCCTGCATTTATAAAATACCTTGTATCCTAAAGTTCTTTATAACTGATTAAGCACTGTTGATATGATGGGAAGTCAGAGCTAAAATACTGACCTGTATTTTCTCTTCACAGATGCTGGCAGACAAATCCTGAGTAGTTTTAGCATTTTGTTCTACTTCAGATTCCCAGCATCTGCTATATTTAGTTTTGTTTTCGAAGTGTGCCCTTTGTTGTCGTTCATTGTTAGGTATTACTTATTTGCTAGCACTATTACCTCTATGCCAAAATGAAAGTTACAGAGATCCATAGGCTACTATCTCATAGACAGTTAACTTGTTTAACCTGAAGGTCACCATACCTCAGGTGAGGTTGAAAAGATGGGGACTTCACGGTGAGCTCAGCTGATAACTGGAATTCTTTTGGCACCATTCTGCATTGCGAGCCAGCCAACTGTTCTAGAAGATTTGAGAAATTTAAACACCAATCTCGATTGACATTCCAGTGGTATACTGAGGAAGCCTTGCACTGGCAGGAGGCCTCTTAATGGATGATATATTAAGCCAAGACCCTATCAGCTTTTATTTTTATTGCAGGGAAAAGATCCCACAGCCACGTTTTGAAGAAGTGCAAGCAGTTATCCCAATGTCCTTACCAATATTTATCTCTCGATCAGCGCTATGAAAGCTGTCTTGCTCTCATGCTAATATTTCTTACCTAGCCCTGCTAAGGAGCCAACATTCCTGAGGGTGGGTTTGCTAGTCTGTTGGCAGAGGAACGTCAAACAAATTTGATTGAATTATTTGAGGAGTGACCCGGTGTGTAGACTAGGGTAGTGCAGTTGATGTAATTTATTTCAAATTCAGCAAAAACTTTGACAGGGTCTCTTGAGGGAGACTAATGAAGACAATAAAAGCATGTTGGATCCAGGATACTTTAACAAGTTGGATTCATAATTGGCTTACTGGTAGGAGACAGAGGGTGGTGGTAGGAAGCTGTTGATGTGACTAGAGACTAGTGTCCAGGGATCAGTGCTGGGACCCTTATTGTTTGTGAGATGTATAAACAATATAGGAGGAAGTGGGGATGGTGGTTGATGGATAAGTAAGTGACACCAACGTTAACCGGGTGGTTGATCGTGAAGCAGAAGATATTGAGGCACAGGAGGATATTAATGAATCAACCGGATGGCGAATGAGTGGCAGATGGAATTTGACCCTGATGAGTGTGAGATGATATGGTTTTGAAACAGTATCAAGAAAATTAATGGCAAGTTCTAAACCGATTAGTTAACAAAATTAAAGTGCATACGATTGGAGGTAATATGCTAGAATGGCCTGAAAATTGGCCAAAAGGCAGAAAGCTGAGTCGGAATAAATGGATTATTCTCAAGTTGACAGGCTGTAACTTTTGAGGACCGATGAAGATCAATGCTTGGGCCTCAACTGTTGATAATCTATATCAGTGATTTAGATCTGAGGCTGTTTGTCACATTTCCAAATTTGTGGATGATGCAGTACCTAGTGAGGAATGAAATTTGTGAACAGGGTGTAAGGAGGCTTCATGGGATTTAGGCAGATTGAGTAAGTGGGCAAGAAAATGGCAGATGGACTATCATGTGGATAAGCATGAGGATCACACTTTGGTAGGAAGAACAATCATGTAGGGTATTTCATAAATCTTGAGAGATTGAAAATTATTGATGTCCAATTGGGCTTAAGTGTCCTTGTTCATAAATCGCTGAAAGCTATAGCATGCAGGTGCAGCAAGCAATTTAGAACACAAATGGTATGTTAGCCTTAATTAAAGGATTTGAGTGCAGGAGCAAAGAAGTCTTACGTGAATTGTAAGCACCATTATGTGCAAGTTTGCCATTTCACACACCAGTTTGTTCTCATGCTAATATTGCTGTTTTCAGCATGCTGCAGTGCTCCAGCAAAGCCCAATGCAAGCTATTATGTTGTACTATCACAGAAATCCATAGCATCTACAGAAAGAGATATTGAGTCTGATATAACTGTCCAAAAGCTTATCTCCACAGATTTTACCAGACTTACTGAGTTTCTCCAGCGTTTTCTGTGTTTGTCTCAGATTTCCAGCATCTGTATTATTTAGCTTTTATACTGTTAGACTTCATGAATTTAGACGGTTCCCTCATCTACTTTTGCAGTAGCTATTATAAGATTTATTCTGGACGTTAGTTTGAATAGACCATAAGACATAGGAGCAGAAATTAGGCCATTCGGCCCATGGAGTCTGCTCCACCATTCAATCATGGCTGATAAATTCCTCAACCCCATTCTTCCCGTAACCCTTGATCCCCTTGATAATCAATAACCTATCTATCTCAGTCTTAAATGTACTCGATGAATACTATGTGTATACAATGAATAAATAGCTATTATTTATGATGAAAACTGTGAAATGCCAATTCTGTTAACAAATTGAAATATTTGTATTTCAGAGTAGATGTCAATATTTATTTTATGTTGATTCTTCACATATACAGTACTTATTTTCTCAGCTGTGATATAGAGTAGAATACTTACCACCTACCAATGTAGTCTGTGTTCAAATCAGATTTACTCTTGTGAAATATATCTAATATACTTTATTGTTCAGTAATAAAAGTAACAAGGAAGAAGCTGTATTGCAACGTAAAACAGTAGCAAGTGCCCCACCACCACCATCCGAGGAGGTTGTTTCTAGTAGTTCGGAGGATGATTCAGGAACCGACAAAGAGGAAGAAGGCCCTGTATCTCAGCGGTCAACACCAGTGAAAATTACAGAGTTTGGAGACAAAATTCCTGAGGTAATAAATTGACTTTATGCAATTAAAATATGTTTCATTATGCCACAAATTTAAATAATGTTGTTTCAAAGCTCCTTTGAAGTAAGATGCCTTTTTTTGGAAGGAAAACAGGAAGGGCAAGCATTCTTCAATAGCTGCTGCACACCTGCATCCAATTGCATTGACAGCAGCGTTTCATCCAACCACCTTATTGCCTTTGGATTAAGGAATGATCTTAAAGTCACTATAAAGGAGAAAGGAAATAAAGTGAAAATATTCAAGATGGAAGAGGGTGGCTAAAATCACCTAGTTCTTTTTACTGCTTACCAGCTTAACTTTCAAAGGATAATTTTTGTCACGAATGTAGAGAACGCTTGTGACCAACTGAGAAACCCTTTGGTGTGGTGATGCAAATGGCATTCTTAAATATAAACGCTAATTATCTTCAGTGGTGAAAATCCCATGTCCTTTGTAACTTGGTAGAGTCAAAGCTGGGAAAGTATTGTAATTGGTCAGCAACAGTCAAGTAATTTCCTTTTTATCTATAATAGAGCTACATAGCAGTAGTCCGAGGTGAAAGTAGGTTTCGTATCCACTAAATCTGTAAGGTAGGAAATTGACATTTTTGGCCATAATATTTGGCTAAACTTCATTCGGTAACTGTTTGTCAGTTAGCTGTTAGTGCTTTCCTTTCAAGATTCAAGCTCAGTAAATATACATTGTTTAAAAGAAAAAGCGGATTCTGCTTATGAAAACTTCGTAATTGTGGTATGTGTTCAGGAATTTCTTGCCACTCACTGTTACTGGCTTGACCTTCAGGTTTTACAATAGAATCAAAATTAATGAAGTATTATGACAGTATTATATTTGAAGTATTTTCATGGTCATACTTCATTAAACAATTACCTGTAGATTATGGAGCAGAATAGACTACAACTTAACTGATGATGCAAAAAAAATCACTTTGAAGTGTTATGGTTTGTGATCTGGTGTTTGCTTCCAAACAGTACAAAAAGCAAAGCGATTCGTATGAAAATACAACATGTGATCCTACTTGATGTTAGTATGTGTTTAGTTGTTGTTTATTTAGATAATAGATTAAGCACATTACTTTGGTATAAGATAATTTATTCTTATCAAAATGGCAGAGCAACTCCATCATTTTACCTTCAATGATAAAAGTAGTAAATTCTGAAGCTGACCATTTTATCACTATCTTGGATGAAGAGCTGGAAACATTTTTATTAAATAAATTCTGTGTGATGATAATAATTAGGAAACCAATTAGTTATCTTAGAAACTGCAGCATTCCATTTGAACAAAAGATTTTGTGTATTGCAGTGAAATATTTCAGGCATATACAAATCTACTGAGTAACAAAAAGTAGGATGTATGGGTAATGCTCAAAAGAGAGACATATTGCTGAAGCTTTTCATTTTACATTCATCAGGACAAATGCAACACTGCCAAATTTCAAACAATCACAAAATGCTGTACAACAGGAGAGAAAGGTGCCAATTGGTTGGCAAGCACTTTTTCCGCCTCAGCCGCACAGCTGCACTTGTACAGCTACTTCGTGTTTTACACACGGCCGTTGACGTTGGTATGTCGATCCTGTCATTGACTTCTGCTTCTGGAAGCAATTGGGCAAAAACTTGGCAGTGGAATACAATGTGGGGAAAAAGTGAGGTCATATACTTTGGCAGGAACAGTAGAAGACCTGAATATTATTTAAATGAAGAAAGTCAGTAGAAATCTACACAAAAAGATTTGCAAGGCCTTTGTGCATAAATCACTTAAAGCTAGCATCCAAGCTCTGTGTCATAGGAAAGGTAAATAGAATGTTGGTCTTTACTTGGAAGGGCATGGAGTATAAAAGTGGGGATGTCTTGGTAAAACTATGCAAAGCTCTGGACAGATGGAACACTGTGTATAGTTTTGGCCTCCTTTATCTAAGGAAAAATATACTAGCATTGGAGGCAGTCTAGATAAGTTTCACTCCGTTGATCCAGAGTAAGGAGGGAGTGTCTTGTGCGTAGAGATCAAAAAGCTTAGGCCTATACTCATTGGAGTTCAGAAGAATGAGAGGCGATCTTATTGAAACATACAAGATTCTTAGGGGGACGTGGCAAAGTAGATGCAGAAAGGTTGTTTCCTCATGTGGGAGAGTCTAGAACCAGAGGGCATAATATCAAAGTAAAGTATTGCCCATATATGGCACAGATAAGGAGAAATTTCTTCTGAGGGTGTGAATTTGTGGAATTCTTTCGCACAGTCTTGAATTCACTTAATGACCGAGCCCTCCTGCCAGATTTTTTTTAAGACAGATTTTTAACCAGCAAGGGAATTGGGTGTTGTGGGGAAATACAGGGATGTAGAGTTGGGGATGATCAGATCAACCATGATCTCATTGAATGGCAGAGCAGGTTTGATTGGCTGAATGGAACAGAAATAGGCCAATGCCTTATGGTCAGTTGGATGATAACATTTTAATTGCTGTCTCTGATCCTGCCTCTACTTTTTAATAAATATTCTGCAAACTCCAATTAAGATTCCCTAGTATAGGTGATAGGCTGTTGAACAATTCCTGCCTGCTTCCCTGTGATGTAATGCCTCCGTTTTTTCTGTTTTGGAATGCTTTTTTAACTAGCAGCTGGAAACAGACAGTAGCATCTAGCCCGCTCCTGATCTCACTGATTCTCAGGGTAATGTCCCACTCTAACATTTAAGTTCTTCTCCTGGTCTTGCTGATTCTAAGTTGAAAGTTTGCTTTCTTGCCCCACTCCTGGACTGGTTGATTTTCCTAAACTACGAGAAGTACTAGATTAATAACCTAGAGAAAACAAAATGAAATTCTAATTACATCAATGTAGGTATGGGATTAGAATAGATTAGAATTAGATTTTAAAATCAAAGGGCATGTATAAATTGAAGTGACCATGCTGCTGCTTTCTAATCCTTTTAGGGAGGGAAAACTGCCCTCCTTATCTGGTCTGGATTATAGTCTGACACATGTCCCATTCTAATGTTGTGGTCTCTTACCTGTCTCATATGAAACCTCTACTCCTGGTTCAAAAAGAATGTCCACAATCACTTCTTCAGGAAATCTAGGGATCAGCAATGTAGAACCAATCTTGGCAGTAACGTTCTTGTCCTGAGAACAAATAAAAATAAAAATTTGCGAGTCTCGTTCGAATATTTAAATCTCTTTTTTATAGTTTGTTTCGGTTCACAACACAGTATTTTTATGCTTTACGGTCAGAAGTATTCATATAATATGTTAATGTGGAACAAGTACTGAAATGAGTTACTGTGAGAACAAATATTAAAGCTCATCTCTACTACTTGGTGTTGCACATACTTGTAATGTGTTTGCATTTATAACTTGTAATTAGTGTTATTCCTATGAGTTATTTAGCATGTCACTGATGATATGAATACAGTTGGTACTGTGGGAGATGGAATCCCCATCTTTGTACATAACAACGAAATCTGCTGTTCCATTTTAATTCTTGCCTTATGTGCATTGAGAACAGGATTATTACGAAGATACTATCACACTCTGCAGTGCTTGTAACTGTAGCTCTAACCATAATCCCATTTCAGCTTTGGCTTAATTCTTAGGATTTTTGTAATCTTGAATAGCTTTAAACCTTTTAGTTTGCAAGATTAAAAAAATGTAACTTCGATGTTTTCAAAGTAACTAACATTAGAGCCCTGCTGCTAATTGCAATTACTTCATTTTTGCCATTATATTGAAAGTGTTAACAAATCTGGGCTGCCCTTCATTTAATAAGTAAATTGTATGGTTATTTAGGAGAAGTTCTAGGCTGTTTATGGAAGGGAGTCGATGAAAAAATCCAGAGCACGAATAAGTTTTAAAGCTATCAGTATGAAACAGTTTTAAAATCTGGAATGCACAGGAGACCAGAATTGGAAGAGAGAATATGTCTCAGCAGCTTGTCAAGCTGAAGGAAGTTAGTGGTAGAGAGGCCATGCAGGGTCATTGAGTCATATAGCACAGAAACTCGTTCATGCTGACCAGACATCCCGATCTGTCATAGTCCCATTTCCAGCATTTGGCCCATATCCCTCTTAAACCCTTTCTATTCATAAATCCATCCAGATGCCTTTTAAATGTTGGAATTGTACCCGCCTCCACCATTTCCCCTGGCAGCTTGTTCCATACACTCATCACCCTCTGCATGAAAAAGTTACCCCTCGGAGCCTTTTAAATCTTTCCCCTCTCTTAAACTTATGCCCTCTAGTTTTTGACTGCCCCATTCTCAGAAAAAGATGTTGCCTATTCACCCTATTCATTTCCCTCATGATTTTATAAGCATCTATAAAGTTGCCCCTCAGCCTCCGATGCTCCAGGGAGAAAAGCCCCAACCCATTCAGCCTCCTCCTATAACTCAAACCCTCCAGTCCCGGCAACATCCTTGTAAATCTTTTCTGCAACCTCTCAGGTTTAACATCATTCTTCCTATACGAGGCGACCAGAATTGTACGCAGTATTCTAAAAGTGACCTCACCAATGTCCTGTACAGTCACAACATAATGTCATAACTCCTATACTCAGTGTTCTGACCAGTGAAGGCATGCACACAAAATGCCACTTTCATCACCTTACCTCGAGCATCTCCTCTTCTGTAATATGCACTACTTTCAAGATGTCACTGTTTATACCCCCCAGGTTCCCTAGCTTCCATGCCCCTCTCCACAGTAAATACTGATGCAAAATATTCATTTAGTATCTCACCAATCTCCTGTGGTTCCACACACAGATGGCCACATTGATTTTTAAGGGGCCCTGTTCTCTCCCTAGTTACTCTTTTGCCCTTAATGTAGTTATGGAATCTCTTTGGATTCACCTTTAACTCTATTTGCCAAAGCTACCTCATGAACCCTTTTTTCTCCATCTGACTTCCACGTATATTCCTACTGCCCTTGTACTCCTCTAGGGATTCACTTGATCCCATCTGTCTATATCTGACATTTGCTGCCTCCTTTTTCTTGACCGGAGCCTCAATTTCTCCAGTCAACCATTATTCCCTACATGTACCTGCCTTGCCATTCACACTAACAGGAACATACTGTCTCTGAACTCTAGTGATCTCATTTATAAAGGCCTCCCTCTTCTCAACTGTCCCTTTACCTGCGTATAGCCTCCTCCAGTCAACGTTTGAAAGTTCCTGTTTCATATATCATCAAAATTGGCCTACTCCAATTCAGAACTTTAACTTTTTGATCAGTTTCATCCTTTTCCATAAATTTAATTTTAAAATTAATAGAATTATAATCATTTGCCCCAAAGTGCTCTCTCACTGACACCTCAGTCACTTGCCCTGCCTTATTTCCCATCAGAAGTTCACGTGTTGCTCCTTCTCTATTAGGTACATCCACATATTGAATAAGGAAGTTTTCTTGTACAAACTTAACAAATTCCTCCCCATCCAAGCCCTTAACACTATGACAGCTCCAATCTATGTTTGGAAAGTTAAAATCCCCTACCATTACAAACCTATTATTCTTACAGATATCTGAGATCTCCTTGCATATTTGCTTCTCAATTTCTCGCTGACTGTTGTTGGGGGGACTGTAAGACCATCCCAATGAGGCGATCATCCAGAACAAATGAAAAAGAAAATATTTAACTTAAAGGAGTTGCCTTTTCAGGTGGTGGTGCTAGTTAACAAGCACAGAAGCAATGATGGATGAATTAAATCTGTAGCCAGATAGGTAATGGGGGCAACGTATGAATGAGCTGGCATTTGTGGATTTTGATTTTTGATTTGAATTGATTTGATTTATTGTTATCACAGGCAGATCATACTATACAAGTGCATCAGGCTAACAGAACAGAGTACAAGATACAATGTTACAGCTGCCAAGAAAGTGTCCAAATGCACGTATATATCTATAATATTTCCTGAAGAAGGGGCCCAACCTGAAACATCAACTTTCCTGCTCCTCTGATGGTGCCTGGCCTACTGTGTTCCTCCAGCTCCACACTGTGTTATCTTTGACTCCAGCATCTGCAGTTCTTACTATCTCACATATTTATCTATTCCTGTATTTTGAGATCAATTTGTGTTTGAGAGAATGAGTTTTTGTTTTTGACAGTCGTTTTCTTCAAAACTTTGTTCCATTATAATTTTGAAAGATAATTAAGCCAAAAGTTAATTGTTGCATAATAAAGATTCTAATATTTAGTCAGGTACTCTTGGGCTATTACATGCTGAGAAAAATTTGTGACATTAATGTTGGATTAATGTTTTGTTGTTTGGCGATTTTCAGGACTGCAGCCAATCTCCAAGAGAGGTGTATATGAATCCCTCTGGGCTTCTATCAGAAGATGATCTTCTAATATACAAAAGGTAAGATAAAATATGGAACAAATATCTTGAATATAAGCTACAATGTAATTGACCCACTTCTTCAAATAAATTGAATCATTTAAACATTACCTGAACACCATATTAAATAGATTTGTTTTAACTGAATTTACTTGTCTGTTTCAGTGATTTGCGTATTTTATTTTGTCATGAGCATTTTATGACTCCGTACTGTGCAATGTATAAATTATGCGTGTTTTTGTTTTATTTGGCTGAGAAGTACATGGATTTTAAGTCAATAGATCAGTTCAGTACTTGAATAAATTACTGAATTCTAGCATGGAAATAGTAGTTTCAAAATTTATCGATATTTTTCAGTGCTTCCTCATCCTCATTCCCTTTAACATAGGTGTGTCACAGAAAAGGGCGTTATTTTATTTCCGTTCTCATTGTTTCAAAATAAGGGAAAGCTTTTAACTCAGGTATAGGAAATTAAGGTCATCAAACCTGTTTCCTAAGATTCACCTCACTATCTTCTTAGCACATCCCTCAATCTCTTTTCTCTAAAGAAACACATTAAGCATTTTTGAACATCAGTTCTGAAGAAGTCATGCCAGACTCCAAACATTAACTCTATTTCTTTCCACCAATGCAGCTAGAACTGCTGAATTTTTCCAGCATTCTGTGTTTGTTTCAGATTTCCAGTGTCTGCAGTATCTTGATTTTATTCAAGATATATCTATGTGGATTGAACTATCATAGTTCTCCATGGGCTCTAATCATAGTAATAATCCAAACTGAGAATGCTAAAGGGAAACTGAAATGATACCAAAAATCATGCTGCAAACTTGTACCTTTCTCACATTTCAAGTGACAATTAACCTGGTTTTATTATTTTTAATAATGCAAGGTTGATTGATTTGGACTGAATGCATACATTAATTCATTCAATATTTTGCTTGCCAGCTATCTTTACTGCAACTAAATAAGTTCATGTAATTTATCTATCTACACTTAGAATCCTTCCCAGACTTGCATGTTGTACTGTTGTGAAGCATTTAAGAGAATGGGTTTGCTTCTAAAGTTATAGGCAGTAGCACTTATTTGGTAAAATTGTTAAAAGAGAATAGTTATCACTAATCCCATTTGTAGCAATCCAGAAAGAATATAATTTAAATCTTTTGTAAGTAAAGTGCAGAAGTGGGAAAAAAAAGTTGTTAGGAAGTTGAGAGTACCAGTTGCAAAGGATTTTGTTGATGGCTGCTCAAAACTTTTGCATCAAACGGTGCAACCATTTTCTAATGAGATGGGTATAAGCAATTAAATGAACAGTATTTGATTTTGTAATCCATTGGATTTTTAGTTTTAAAAATGTATCCAAAAAGGATAAGCTGTCTTCCGACTCTAGTTGAAACAATGTTTAATAATGCCGTGCTTTACAACAGATTTGTTTATTTGGGTCAAAACCAGCATAAAGTTGACATATGCAGCCAACAAAGCAATGCAAAGCAACTAAACAACATGATGACCATCATGTAAGTATCAAACAATGACTACACTTGTTTTTATGCATGGCTTAAAGTAATTTTTCACACAGCTTTTGTATAAACCTGGAAGTATGCTCACTAACACTCACTACAGCCGTCATCCTTAGACCCCAATATGATTCTGCCCTTTAAGTCTCTAAGCACAAAACTGAAAGCGTTTCACAAGTCAATTAATCCAGCAACCCACAGTTCAATAGTTACTATTTAATTTCGACATTTAGCAATTGAAGCAAGAAATTTTGATACTAAACTTTTTGTTTTGATTGGGTGCCATGTGCATAAATGTTATCTGTTTAATTTCATACCTGAAGGACATTACCCTTCCACCTCCACAATGCAGTATTCCCTCACTTAGTGGATTGGAGTGATGGGTTTAATTACCTGAAGTATGGGAGTGTTGTTTGAACTCAAATCACAAGAGGAATTCATTGTTAATGGTACTTATTGCAACATGGTTTGAATGCATGCCTGTTTTAAGATTTTGGTATTTATGTACAAACTATTTGGTAAATTAAGCATAATTTCATGCATCTTGATATTGCAGATAACATAACACTTTGTCATTAAACACTTACAGTCTATTATCTTTGCACAATCTGCTATTATAGTAAGAAAATGACGAAAGTTACACAGAAATATTCTATAGGGTTAGATTTTGAAAGGTTAGTTATTCTAAAATGCTGATAATTAAGAGCATTCCTATTCTGTAAATCTATGTTAAGCCTTTTCAACCTTGATTCCAATTTATACAAGGTTTACATAATCTAGCTTTATCAATGTAAATTGAAGCAGATTCTCAATTAATTATTTATTATACTGCCAGGTTGTCCATATTTATGCTCAATTTCGCAATCTGTTGCAGAGCTTCCACATGCAACTTTGAAATTGCCTTCTGAACATAACATCACTCTCAAAATGTATGTAAAATCATATTAATTTATGGACTCAAGAAATAGCTTGAACACCAGCTTTTCAACTCTCAGACATGGCTTTGAATCCAACCTTGATTGATTTGAAGATGTTATACAGCTTAATGTGAATTTAGTTTTGAAAAGTCCAGATTTTTTTTCCGACTTCCCTCATACCCAAGACTTGTGATTTTATGCCTAGGCTTGCTATTCTTCTGTGAACTGCTTCCATTGAGCCACCAGAACTGGACACACTACTCCAGATTTGGCCTGTTCAAAGCACAGCACGGAATTTTCCAATTGCAATCCATTGTTTTGCCTATATAGATTCCCATGTTATTGGATCTGTTGATCACTAGTGTTATAATCCCTGTGGAGATCAACAACAGAATAGAATTGTACTTCCCAAATGGTAGAAAGTGATAAAAAGAGAAATCTTGTCTAATACTTTTACTGTCATAATCAAGCCAAATTCAGCAGAAACAATGCAAATTAATGAGCAAATTCCATTCAGTACAAAATTATAAATTACTTTTTAAACAGCTGATATGATATAGATTTCAAAGATTTCTCAGGTAGTGCCTTCAGAATACATGATAACCACTGAGTCTCATTTAATTTTATTCTTCATCAATAGGGTGTCAGTCCCCTTATTTTTATAGGACTTAAGCTCACAGCCTTGTCTGGCAGTTCTTAACCTGCCTGAGTTCAACAGGTGCAATAACCATCAAAAGCATACGTTTCCAGATCCTTTACAGCTCTGCTCCTGGAATGTCTCTAGAATCAACCTTTTTTTGATCTTCTCCAGTTGTGTCACAACTTTCCACCATAGCTGTCTTTCTCTCACAGCTTCTCCATTGCCACACTAGAGGGGGTTCTGCTATAATGCAATAGTTGCATTCCTGTGCAACATCATGTTATAGAAAATCGCAGTATAGAAATAACAGGGCCTACGGAAAAAGCGGGGTTAGGGACAAACCACTAAAACAATAATCCAAAATCGCTCAAAAATCACTCAAAAGGCCTAACACAAAGGATAGCACAGTTTGAATAAATGTCTTATCCATATCTAATAATGAAATAAAAGTAAATTGAACACCTCATCTTGAAAAAATATGAAGATGGCTTAATGAAGGAGGTTTTGAGGTTGCTCTGTTGTTAATGCAGGGGCTGAGGGTGGTGGTGATGGTCATCATTATCATCGCCATCTTCGGGTGCAGTTGTGGTTGCGGGGTTAGGGCGGAAATTAATTAATGCAGAAGTGGATGGCTGTGATTCATTGTCTTCTAACTGTTTCTTTATGATTGGCTTAAAAGAGACATCCAGTTTTTGCTGCTTTGCCCTTTTTCTTTTTTCATGAAGAAGCTGTTCATAGGTTGCCAAATAAGATCTTATTCCACAAACTGCTACCCTGCTGTATTCTGCATTGTAACTGTTGTCCTCTAGGAGGTGCAACTGCTTCTCAGTTTCCATAAGGATAGAATACAAAATAGAGTGGAAAGTTCTCATGGTGCTGCATCCTGGACCACCTCATCTTCATTTCTAGCTTCCACTTCTCCCTCCAACGACAAGTTGTTGTAGATCAGCTGTAGAGAGGTCTTCACAGTGGGACTCGAGCAGCTCTTCAACATCCTCTCTCTCCACTTCTTCAAATCCCACTTGCTTTGCAAGATCAAAACAATGTTCTTTGATTCTTGGGAGCTCCCCTGACAGACCAAAGGTTTTAAAATCTTGAAAAAAATTTGGGAGGAGATTCTGCCAAACTACATTCAAGCTGTCCTGACTGATATCACCCCAGGCCTCCACGATAATGTCAATGGCATTTTTGATGTTAAAGCTGTTACAAGATTGAAGAACACTGTCCTTATCCCCCTCAGTGGCTGCAATCAGCCACTTAATGTGCGCCTTAAGTAATAAGCTTTGACAAGCTGCTATTGCACCCTGACCCATAGGCAGAAGGAGAGAGGTTGTGTTTGGGTGTAGAAATAGCTCTTTGATGTTTTCAGAAAGCTCACCAATGGTGGGAGGATGGCTTGGCGCATTATCCAGGATGAGGAGAATCTTGAAATTCAATTTTTTTTTTCCTGCAATGCTTTCTAAAAATATCTTCTAAAAATATCATCAATAAGGGCACCATTTGCATCGAGTTATAGCCAACATAAGTTTGCATTTTAGAAATAGCGTTCCCTAATTCGTCTGTCGCGTTATAGCCAATTCGCATTGCCAGAACATGCGTTATAGCAGAGACCCTTGTATTCTGCTTCTGCTGTTAAAACTGAACCTCTAGATAACTCTCTAGATAAAATATAACTTCTCATCATGGTGTTTTCTTTGCCAATCAATTTCTGTTTATCTAGCATCTTAAGCCAACAGGCTGATTCTTCAGAAGTCTGATATCACTGCTGGGAATTTTAATCAAAAGCACTTCCCAGATCCTGGACTTGGTATCTGTTTCATTTGGAAAACTGTCCTAGAAAAACAGGCCTTTAAATTGTAGTCAATGCAGACAACAGTTTATAAATTGTAGATTTCACCATACTGCTCTGCATTATTGGGAAATAATGTTTTCTAAGATTCCTAACACCTCTCTTGTTTTTATATTTAACTATTCAACATCATTCATGGGAAGCATGTACTCGTTGTAATTTTATGTGCAGTACTTTACATCAGACTGTATTAATTGTTATCTCAGTTTTCCTCCCACATTTATTTTATCTAACAAACAATCTGACCTGTCCCTCTGATTTTAGTTCCCTGCTAGGTTTGGTACTAGCATAAATCTGACCAGTATGCTTCCTCAACCCTGACATAAATCCCCTGAGATAGTAGGAACTGCAGATGCTGGAGAATCCGAGACAACAAGGTGCAGGGCTGGATGAACACAGCAGGCCAAGCAGCATCACAGGAGCAGAAAGGCTGACGTTTCGGGCCTAGACCC